CAGCGTGCCGGAGCAGACGGCAGTCTCACGGGCCCTCTGCAGCCCTCCACGAGAGGGCTTTGCTGCACAGCGAAACCAAGCAAGAGGAGGTCCCTCTGCCAGCTCCAGCGCTGACCCCCTCACGTCTTCCCACGGAGCAGGGACGTGGCTTTCCAGGGCGCCTCTCCCCTGACTCTAGTGCTCCAGCAGGATAGAGACAGCGGAAAAGCACCAGTCCAGCCCCAAACATCCCTGCAGCTGCATCCCAAGAGCTGCATCCTGCCACACTACGAGCCACACGCGTCGCGGTCCCGCAGCCCACATCTGCTGGGCTCCTGCTCGGCCGAGGAGGAGCAGGAGGGAGAAGGATGGATCTTCTGCCCCAGAACGGAGTGAGCAGATTCACCCTAGCTTCCATACACGGAATTGCAGGAGACGTGAAGGAGACGTGCTGGGTATTTGTTCGGACAAGCCCTGGGCCAACAGCTGCAGCAGCTGATAGCAGCAGATTGCACCTCACCCAGGCAGCCCTCAACGGCCTCCTGCCATCCTCTAGGGAAGGCAGAGACCTGGTCTGAAGGGGTGCCTTAGTGTGGCTGCCACTGGGTAGCTCGGCTTCAACTGGAGACCCCTCTAGAGCAGCTCTCGATCCCAATCCCTCCCCCTGGACACCAGCCTTTGCACTAGGGCAGCCCCTGCATCTGCCCAGGTCTTGAGCCCACCCAGGTCAAGGCCTGGCCCCTCTCCAGGTGGGTCTCCAGGCAGGAATCAGCCGGTTCACTTAGGGGAAGGAGCAGCACGCGGTCTCCCAAGGTCGCTCCCGAGCTCCTCTTGCTGCAGGTAGGAATGACAGGCGGCCGCGCGGGCCGCTGGCCGCAGCAGGAAGCAGCGGCTTCCTCCGCAAGGCTGTGCTCATGGTGCTCCCCTCCCTTCAGCCCTGATGTGCCCGGATCCGGAGCCACATCCTCAGGAAGGGCCGCGGGAGGCAGGGGCAGCTCGCAGGTCGTCCTGTTGTCCTTTTCATTCCCAAGCTCCGAGTCCAAATGGCAGCGTCGCTCTGGCCGCAGGGCTCCGTGTGACGCAGCGCTCGCTGGTTATTTTTAGCAGCCGTGGCCCCGCTTCCTGCGCGGCAGCCGGGAAGCCCCTCCCGGTATTCCCAGGCTAATCCGCTGCTAATCGCACTGGGAGGCCAGGGCAGACAGTGGCTCCTGCATACGTCCCCGGTGCCTCCCTGCTGCAAGGGCAGCAGCTCCAGGGGATGCAGAGGGGCTGGAGGTCGTTGGTGCCCTGCAGCCGGGTGCCCTCCCTGGCTCCGGGGCCGCTCCCAGGGGAAAGGCAGGAGCCAGCGGCAGGAGAGGCGGCGCCAGCCGGGCTGGCTGTGGAGCCGGAGCGGGAGCTGGCGCGGCCGGAGGAAGCACAGGGCGGCGGTGGCGGCCCCTCTCCGGCTGCGCTCCCTCCTTCCTGCCCGAGCACCTCCGCTTTCCTGCCTTTCCCAGCACGCCCGGGCCGTTTCCGTGCACGCCGCGTCCTTCCTGCCCTGCCCCTGGACCATGCGCCTGCTTCTCCATGGCTCGCTGTGCTCCCCTCCGCTGCCTTCCCCTTGCCTCTTGGCCCTGTCCCTACCGCTCACGGGCCAAGGAGCAGCGGGGAGGCCGGAGCAGGCACAGAGCGGAGCCCTCGGCCCTGCATGAGGCGCTTCCAGTGCGGCCTCTGCTCCCTGCTCTGCTCGGCGCCCGCAGAAGCAGCAGGCGGACGTTTCCCTGGGAATTGCCTTTGTTCCCTCCCCGTCTGTGCGTGTGAAGCTCTGCTCTGTGATGCCCAGGCCTCCGCCTGCCCTCAGGCTCCCATTAAATCCCTTCGGCACCAAGGGCGACAGCTGAGGTCAGAGGAAGAGGAGGGAGGCTCTTCCCTAGGAAACCACGGCCAGCAGCAGCCAAGGGCCGAGAGGAACGCTGTGCCTGCCTCGCTCGAGCCTCGCCTGTGCTCCTCCCTTGTCCTGGAAAACGGAGAGAGTCTGGCTGATTTCCCTTCCTAAAATCCATGGCTGTTGGAAAGTGACCGCGGCCCTGGGGGGACGCGTCTAGCAGCCCTAGCAGACAAGGCAGAGCGAGCGTCCATCCTGAGCGCGGCGCCGCAGGCCCTGGCTCCGAGCCCTTCCCTCTGCGCTGCGCGGGCAGCAGCCCCGGGCACTGGCTCCGGCAGGCGATCGGGCCGGGGGAACCTCCGGCTCTGCGTTTCGTCGCTGCCCCGCGCGGCGGCTGGGTGAGGCCTCGCGCAGCCGCACGGAGCGGCTGAGGGGCCCTGCGGGCTTTGCCGTCAGCAGCGGGAACGGCTGCCAGAGGACGAGGGGAAGGGAGTTGCTTGTGTCAACCGCGTCCCCTGGCGCTTGCCGGCCCCGAGCCTGCCTCCGGGGGCCGCTGCGGCTGGGAAGGGCCCTGCTGAGGACCGTCCCGCGGGATGCAGCCTTGGTAGGGCTGCTCCCGCGCCCCTGCATTCCCGCTCGCTGCCCCGGCGGGAGAGGCCCCAGCAGGAGGGCGGCCCCGCATCGCCTCCCGGCCGCGCTCCCCTCCCTCGCCGCGGCAGCACCCGGGATTCCTGAGCGCTGACACAGCCCCGGCAGGGCCCCCCGCTCCTCCTGCCCCGAAGGGGTCACCCGGGGCCAGGGCGCTCCGGGGGAGCTGCCAGAGCCAAATCCGGAGTCCGTCTCCGCGCGCCATGTCCCCGCCACCACCGCAGCTCCTTGCGCCCAGCACCTCGGCTGGCAGCCGGCCCGGGGCGCTCAGACGCTCCCCGCTCCCAAGGCTCGGATGATTCACACCATTAACACTCCCTAGCTGCCAGGAGCCCTTCTAAGCAATTTCCTCTCTCCAGAAGGAATCCCTCATGGGGGGGCAGCCCCGGGCACGCTGCACGCGCGGGCAGCGCTCACTCCCAAAGCGGCTTCCCGAGCTGCTTGCTGCCCTGCCCGGCTGCGCGCGGCTGCGCAGACCCCTGCCCGCTGCTCTTACGGGAGGGCTCCTGCCATCTTCCGTCGGGTCACCTCCTCCCGGACGGGCTGAGGTGGTGTCCACAGGAGCCACCCTCTCCTCCCAGGGTGGAAGGGTTTATTTTTATCAGGTTTGTTTACGCGCTCTGTTTTCTCCCGGCAGCATCGGGCGCTTTAGGGCTCTTTGCCTCTCCTCCAACGTAGTCCACCATCCTCGTGTAGGGATTACTAGTCTTTTTTAATTCAAGATTCGCTTTCCAGCGAAGGCACTGGCCCCCAGCTATGAGAAATAAAAACTCGCTGCCAGCTGCCCTGTCTGTTGGAATTATTTTCCAAAATTATTTTTGGAATTATTTTCCGGCAGGCAGGCGCAGGACCGCGACCGCACAGCTCCTCTGTGGAAGACGGAATAGATGCAGCAGCGGGGTGGCTGCCTGGAAAACAACTCCTTCGGATACATGAAGCTGCTTCTGATCAACTCCATGTGTTGGGAGGAAGAATGGCAGGATCCCAATCCAGCACGCAGGGGCTGACCACAAGCCCGGAGCAAAACCTGAGGCCCATAACAGCGCCAGGAAGCTCCCACACGCTTCCTTGGAGATGCTGTTGGCAATAAAGGGACCGACCCCACGAGGCTTGGGAGGAAAATGCAGGAAGGAAAACAAGACCTTTCCCATCTCCCAGCCCTGCCTCCTCGGAAGGGACCCGTTCCACCCCCTGTCCCTTCTCACACAGCCCCAGGCCAAGCCGTTCTCTGCAGCTGAGAGGACCAGAGGCCGGGGATCAGCCACCAGCTGCCCTTCTTGCCTGCTCCCAACAGGCATCAAGTGGGAAGAAAGGCCTCATGACAACCACTGCTTCCTGCTAGGCTAAAGCCCTGTGTCACCAATCTCACCAAGATAATTAAACTGATTAGGATGACAGGACTTTCACTTTCACAGCAGCATGCGGAGCTGCTAACTCGCGCACTACCAGGAGAGCTCGCTCCAGAAGACACCGACGCCCACAACACTTCTCTCCCCCATCACAAGTCCTCTGCTCTTTGCTCTCCTGTGGATTAAGACTCATCTTTCCATTTTTCACAAAAACAGGATGTGAAAGAAAACAAGAAAGTCGTAGTCTGCAATCCCCAAACCTCCCCTGGTGGGAAGTTTTAACTGCTGCCTCTTAACTCCCCACAGCAGAGCAGCCCCACAGCCACCTGAGCCCCATCAGAGAAGGCGCAGAGCACAGCACCCCTCTGAGCTGCCCCTCAGAGACGGGCCCCGGAGCGCAGCCAGGAACCCCAGGCTGCGTTTCCCAAGGCACAAAGACATCTTCCTGGGTTTGCAAGATTTAACCCTCGGCCGAAGAGCTCGTTAATTGGGAGCAGAGAAACCTCCAGCGAATCTCCCAGCAAGCAGCAGCAAACTTCCCCCACTGCTCAGTCTAATTGCGGCGCCTCCAGGCGCTCTGTACTCACAGCACAGGCCAAGCTCCTCTCCCCACCCACAGAAGAAGGAACTTTAACCCAGTTAGTCCTGCTGAAAGAAAAAAAAAAAAAAAAACACCCTGGATATTCAACATTTTAGGCACTCTGCGAGTTAGTAAAAGCAAACAGGAGGCACCGCAACGCGTTTTTTGGCGGAGCGCTATTGGGCCGCTTTGCCCAGCCCATGTTCAGGGAGTAGCAGCCGCGCGCCCCCGCGCCAGGACCTTTGGGCAGGTGATGTCAGCCGGGCGGCCCTTGACCGGCGGCTCCCCCGCTCCTCAGCGGCGGCTGCCGGCCCAAACAGAGCCGTTCGGCTGCGCGGGCGAGCGCCTAATGCTGCTGCAACCCTGTCCACGAGCCCGCGCCATCGCTCCGCGCTCACAGGGAAGGAGCAGGCGGGCGGCGCTGGCACAGGCTCCGCACAAGTTCCCTTTCTTCCCAGTGGAGCCCGGGGCTGCGCAGGGTGGATCCGGCCGCAGACTCCGCGGCAACCACACCCTGGCTGCGGCTCCCTGCCCGGCACAGCCACACAGGGATACGCTTGTACACTCCAAAATATTTAATACGTGTTGTACACGTAGCATTACATTTCATACAAAAAAAACCAAAAACGAGATACATCACCAAAGGAAAACACTGTACAAAACCCCCGCGAGAGCCCCGGGCCTTTATACAACAAAGGCCTGGGGGTCACCGAGCCGAAGCCGAGAGGCTTGCGGACTTTCCACCCTCCCACACCCCCCCAGAAACGCCTGTAAACTTCGTTCCTCTCCATGAACACTTTCTAAAAGCACCGTGTAAGATTCCTGACCTAGGCCTTTCCAAAATAGAGACTTTATTTAATAAACGCTTTCCCAGCTTAAAAGGCGAGGCGGCGGGGGGCCACCCCGCACGCTCCGCGCGCTGCCCCCGTGCCGGCGGCGGGCCGAGTCTGTGGCTCGCGGTGTCAGAAGGCCACGATGGCCGTGCTCCAGGGGTTGAGGGTCCGCAGCACCGGCTCGTCACAGCAGATCTGCCCCGGCTCGCCCGCCTCGCCGCCCGCCGCCTCGCTGCCGTCGCGGCGCCTCCGCCCCGGCGGCTCCTTGCCGAGCAGTCCCGAGAAGCTGGAGCCGAAGATGCTGATGAGGTTGGCCACGTTGCCCGTCTCCATGTCCTCCTGCGGCTGCGGCGGCTCGCGCGGCGGCGGCTCCTCGGCCTCGCGCCGGGGCTTCTTGAGGGGCGCGGCGGGCTGGGCGCGCTCGGCGGCGCCGCGTTTCCGGGAGCAGCCGGGCAGCGCCGCGACGCCTCCGCCCGCCGCGCACCCGCCGCCGCCGCCGCAGCAGCAGCGCGGCGCGCGCGGGCCCCCGCAGTCCCACGGGCCGCCCCTAGGCGCCTCCTCGCGCGGCGGCGGCGGCGGCTCCGGCTCCTCCTGGGCGGGGGGCCACGCGGCGGCGCAGGGCGGCTCCTCGGGGGGCTCGCTCAGGTAGACCTGCCGCGCGCTGCGCAGCACGAGCGACACCAGCAGGTTCTTGTGCAGCTTGAGGCCGCCGCGCTGGCCCCGCGCGCTGTAGATCTTGCCCAGCGAGATGCTCACGATGCGGTGCGCCTCCAGCTTGAACTCCATGGGCGCGGGCGGCGGCGGCGGGCGCGGCGCCGCGGCCGCCGTTGCCTCCGTGGCGCGTCCTCGGGCCCCGTCCCGCTCCGCTGCACGCGGCGCCGCGCACCGCGCTCCGCTCCCGCTCGCCGCCGAGTGAGGCGAGCGCACGCCGCCGGCCGCCTTTTATAGCGCCCCCGGAGCGGCCAATCAGAGCGCCCCGCCGGCCGCTCCAACCGCCGCCGCGCCCGCGCCAGCCAATGGCGAGGCGGGGCCGCGGGTTCGAACGCTCGCCCCGCGGAGAGGGCTCTTAAAGCGGCAACGGCGCCGCGCGGAGGGGCCGCGGCAGCGCGCGTCACTCGCGACACGGCCAAGCGGGGTCTTCGGGCGCCGCCCCCTCTCTATAGGTCGCGGCCGGGGCCAAACGTTGCCATGGCTACCACAGTTCCCCTGCCCGAGCGTTCTGTTCTCATTTCACAGAACGGTCGGGGTCGGAGCGGGCCTCTGGAGACCATCCAGTAGAAGCCGGGGACACCTAGAGTGCCTTGCACAGGAACACACGCCAAACACGGCCCAGGAACTTCCATCCCAAACACCGGCTGGGAACGGTGTTTCTTTTGGTTGGACCACAGCAGGAGGCTGCCGTGGAAATTTTGGGCAGAATAGTTGAAGCATTTCGAAAAAGTAGCAGGGAAGCTCAAGGCATCAGAGAAATCCCTAGGAAGGCGCCATGTGTCGGCAGGCAGCTCCACCACCGCCTGCCCTTCCCCTCCCTGGGTCCTTGGGCAGCAACCAGCATGGAGAAGCTCAGAGGGGTGTTTCGGGCCTCAGCTGGGCTCCAAAAGCCTTCAAGGAAGGCAGCAGAAGGATGCAAGAAACAGTAGGGGAGACAAAAGGAAGGAATTAAGGAAGTTAATGTCGTACCCTAAAGTATCGGCAGAGTTCCCACTCGAGCCCTGGTTTCTTTTTTTTTTATTAAGAGGAAAAATGAAGGTCTCAGACTCGCTCAACGGAGAATGGCAGCGAGCAGCAAGAAGCAGGCCGGGAGCTGCGCAAGTGCTGGCTTTCGCCATCCAGGCGAAGGGTACTGCAGCGGGCTGGGAAGGAGGGAAGTGCTATTGAGCAGCGAGCCCCTGCTACCCATTTCCATCGGGAGGGACAGATGTCGGGATGAGGGGCAGAATGTGGGTCTCTCGAGCAACTTTTGTGGCGGCAAGTCCAGCGTTTCACACCGTGAGCGTTGGTGCGTCGCCTGGTCAGCGTTGCAATGCGGCGTGTGCCACACGCGGTGCTCGGAGGTGCTTTTCAGACAGACCCCATCTCCTTGATCTACTCCGCTCTCACCCGCTGCCTGTTACAAATCCTGCTTTCTCAGCACGTTCCCGGGGCGCTGGGAACAGCTCTTGGCTTCATGCAGTCAAGGGCAGACAGAAAGGTCCCAGCAGGGTTTTAGCCCTGCTCTGCCAGCGGCTCTCAAAGGGCCCTTCCTCAGCTGACGGCCTATGGACAAAACTGCCACCACGATCTGGCTTCTTGGAAGGGCACAGGGTGATTGGTAAGAGCAGGAACAAAAACTAGGTGAAGTTTCAGCCACTCAGCCCCGCAAGCAGCATGCTCCAGACATTGCTTTCTGAACACCATGGTGTGGTCTTCCCAAACAGAGCAGCCTGTGGTTTGACCTCCAAAAAAAATCCCACCTCCTCCCGCACAAACCTGCCAGCAACCCTCTTTCCAAATCCCTACACCGGAGCGCGCTGAACTGCACAACTGACGATGGTCCCCAAAGCCATTCCTGCCTGTCCCCCTCAGTGAGAGCACCAGGCCTTGCCGAGAAAGCTGCCCTTGCAGAGACGCCAGCCCGGGCTCCGCCGCCCACGCAGGGCCGTGGGAGGCAGCAGGAATGCGAGTGACAGTGGTGGGAACCGACGGCACTGCTGTCCTCCAGTCTCCAGACCTGCAGAACCTGATCCTATGCCTTGGAGGGCCAGCAACTCCCTGGCCCAAGCCCTCAGGCCAGTCTAACCAGCTTGGGCAGGTCTGCATTCAGATGTTTGAGACTTCAGTCACTCCTGTTCACCTCCAGCCATCATGTCTGGCTGTCACTAGCTGCCTCGTTCATGATGAGATTGGTTACATCTGTGAGGTCAGTCCATGCTCTTAGAAAAGGATAAGCAGACGAGCCAGAGAGCACACAAGTCATTCTCAGACCCCCGCACTAGCTGCGAGAACCCAGGCCTCTGGTGTCATCACCAGAAATGACTCCAGTTGGAAAAAATGAAGTCATTATTTCATATTTCTCTTCTGAGTATCAACCTGCTGACTAGGTGATGCCACCTGCCCGACTCAAAAGCAGAGGCACAGCGAAGCAGCTCTGTGCGCCGGCCTGGCTGAGACGCTGCGCAGGATCCTTGCTGAGTAAAGGTGACTGCATCCAGAGCCGCCCGACTTGTTCTGCCACCCAGCCGGCAGCAGAACCGTGGGAGCCAACGTTTCTCCCTGGTAGCCACCGCCTACGTTTTGGCCACCCTGCCTGCTTAAAGCCGTGGGCTGGCAGCCAAGGGAGGGCCGCCGCTCCTCTCTTCTGCCCTGCTCAGCAATAAACACGCAACACCAAGAGCTTGCTAAACGCCACAAGTGCCCAGAGCAGGCGCTTTGCAAGCCTGGCATGGGAGAGCAAAGAACTGCACCCGCTGCGCGGCAGGAGCTGGTAACCAGCCCGGCACCGCCGCTCCCGCGTGCGAACGCGGAGCTCGCCCCGTTTCGGGCCGCACACACAGGGCTTCTCGGGCCGGCGGGGCGCAGCAAACGGCGCGGGGCCGTTTAAGAGCGGCTCTGTTTTGGCGGCTGATGTAATGGGCAGCAAGTGAGCGCAGTCACATGGCCCCTCCCGAGGGCAGCGGCCTTTGTTGTGGGCCTGCTCCCGCCCCGCCTCGCCCCGCTCCGCCCCCCGGCCCCAGGGGCTGCGTGTGTGACCGCAGCGGGGCCCCCTGCCCCACTGTCCCTCGGAGCAGTGACCGCAGCAGGGTCGCTGCCCCGCTCCCACGGCCCTCTGCCTCAGTGTGTGTGTGTGTGTGTGACTGCAGTGGGGTCCCTGCTCCGCTCCCTCAACCCTCTGTCTCGAGGTCTCTGCATGCGTTGACCACAGCAGGGTCCCTGCTGCGCTCCTGCTTCCCCAACCCTCTGTCTGGGTCTGTGTATGTGTGTGACCGCAGCGGGCTCCCTGCTCCGCTCCCGCGTGCTCTGATTAAGGGTCTCTGTGTACACGAACGTGGCAGGGTCCCGCCGGGCTGCCCTCATCCACAGGGCGCCCACGCAACGCTGGGCCTGCCACGGGTGGGCGCAGAGCTGCGTGGCAGCCCCTCGCCTCTGTCTATCCGTCCGCACGGCCCCCTTGCGACGGGTCAGCAGGGGACAGGGGAGGAGCGGAGGGAAGGGTGTGAGGCGGCACGCTAACCTGCGCGTGTGACCTCATCGGCCTGGAAGGGGCTCCCAAACAATTGACAATCCCGCAGCTCGGCTGCTGCTTCCGGAGCCAGCCCCGCGGCAGCGCGAGCCCGAGCGGGCGCCCACAGAGGCGGCCCCGCCAGCGCACGAGGCTCCACAGCGGGGACCCGCAGCCCCACCACATCCGTGCTTCCCCATCCCAAGCACCTGCTCCCCCTGTGCCCTGGCTCGTGCTGCCCCACCACAGTACCGCGGCGCTGGAGCGAACGGCCTGCGCCATGTGGCTCGCAGCGCGGCTCCCCGGCCTGTCACCGCGGAGGATGTGGTTACCGAGATCCTGTTTTGGCAGCGGCGCTGGGACAAACAGCTCCCTCCCACCAGCCCGTCCTTCCCATCCCCTGCCCCACCACTTCCCACCAAATGTGCGGCCCAGGCACAAGACGCGCAACAAACAGATGGAAAATCTGTAAGCCAGGATTGCCGGAGAAATCTGGGTCTCTTTGAGGCTCAAGCTGGAGTTTTCCATCGCCTCTTCCGGCTGCCCCAGACCTCTCTCCAGAAGTTGGCTTGGAGTGAAAGCCTTCCCGTGAAGAGCATGTTCAAGGGAAAACGTAGCTTCAGAAGAAGCAAGCCCCAGAGCAGAGCCAGGCTGCAACCCCCAGGGACCAACGACAAAAGCCTACAAGGCCGGAGAGAAACATCTCAAAATGCAGATTCATGCGTAGCCACAGAGCAGGTTCATTTCTGGACGAGGGAAAACAGACCTCTGAAAATGAGCCATTAGTGTCAGACCCACACAGGTTGCAGGAGGAGGAGGTTTGTTTGGGGTTGATTTTTTTTCCTCCTCCCAGAAAAATCAATGATTCCCATTGATGCAGCCTCAAGCTGCCGCAGTCAGTTATCAATAACCACGCTCACAGGGTTCCCAGCTGTTCTGGTTTCTCTGTGTTTGAAGAGAAGGTCAGAGGAGCTCAGACTCATCTCAAAACACAGCGAAGAGCACTAACCACTGAACACTGCTGAATGATAACAAAACACAACACACAAGTGAAATACAAACAAATCAATACAAACCCAAACCAGAAGGGAGGAAGTAGCTCCCTCGGCTTTGCAGAGTGCTAACATACCTGCCCGTGAAACCACAACAGAGAGTGATAGTACAGCGCAGTCGCATACTAGAAAGCAAAGGTTTTGTTTTTCAAAACAGTTCAAGACTCCCTTCCCATCTGCTGAAAAAATGTGCATGTTCCAGACTGCTCTTTGCTCCCCCAGCAGGCAGGACATGCCTCCTCCTGTGCATCTTCCTCCATCCATGACCTGGGATGGATTCCCCCTCCGGTGCCTGCACAAGCGATTCAGGATGCCCCCTCAGCTTGGGCACTTCCCACCCTCCTGCAGGAACCGTGACCCAGACCCTCGCCCTTCAGAAAATCCTGTTACTCCTCTGCCAACCTCTCCAAACACAAAGGAGGGAAAAAAAAAAAAAAACCTCACAGCTATCGGCTTCTCCGGGCAGCAGTTTCCCCTGGAAAAATCTGGCCCCGTGTCTTTTAGCATTGCATGGAATTTGCTTTGGTTTCCTGGGGAAAAAAAATCTGCATTTATTTGTCCAGGGTTTCCTATCAGACAACCCTTCTATTGTAGTCCACCTTCCTGTATTTTTTCCCCTCTGCAATACGGGTGCAGTGGTTCTGTGCCATTTCCAGCGACGCACCGAGGACCGTCTGCAGTTACGCAGACGGAGGCTGCCTCGTGTTCGGTAACAGAAAGCGTGGTGGCCCCGGGACCCTGGTGACAACCTGGCCCAAGGGCAGCGTTTGCTTCCAGCTCGCTGGACGCCACGCCACAAAGTGCTTTTTCTTTTTCTTTTCTTTTTTTTTTTTTTTAACTCCACAAAGTGTTTTTTTTTCCTTGGCTGCAGCAATTTGCTCCGCAGCTGTGGCCTTGAGGGATGCACTCACTCTTTGCCAAACTACAGGCAACCACCAAGGTCCCCGAAGCAGGTTAAAAATCATACGTTAATTGCGTGGACTCCAGGTGGAGTCAGCTCAGGGAACAGGGGGCAGACTGAGTGCCCAAAGGAGTCACACTAATTATTTTTTCCTCTCCCCACCACTCAATGTCACCTTCCTTTTGGCCGCCAGGCGAACGACTACTGTAGCCCTGCGTACGTCCCAGTGCGTAGATGTGTCCTCTGTTCGGCTGCTTCCCATTTAAGCATGACAGGAAGGTTGCACAATGACACTCCCAAGTCACAGACCTGTCATCCCCAGAAGAATTTGCCTGCACCAGCTCTCTGCTAACAAAGGAGGGGACTTGCCAGCAAAACACATCACACACAGCGCCTACTAAAAGCCCCAAAACAGCCACCACTCCACGAAGCAGCAGGCACCTGGGGAGAGCACCTTCCTTGCTCAATTTCATCTCCCTTTCTCATCTTCATTAAATGACCGATTGTTCATGCACCACGAAGAGGAAAATCAATTTTCTTCAAAACAACCCTTATTTAGAACAGTCATCTGCCAACCTCCGTGAATTATCACCTCGCATTTGTTCATTTATTCCATTCTTATTTGCATCTGGACATTTGGCTGCCCTCCTAAAGGTTGCAGCATTCACATAGGCAAGTCTGCCTGCTGTGGCCGCCCCGACCACGGGCAAGGCTATGGCATGAAATCAGCTTTCATTAGACAACAGAAAACCCACAAGAGCAACGGGAGGAAAGGCACATCCATGGAAAGGGCTTCAGTCGGTACTTGCTGCTTCCCAGACATGGGAAAAGTCTTTGCATTTTAGGGACAAGTAACCACAAAACCCCATGCCGAGATGCCAGAAAGAGGCAGGCTAGGTGGGAGCACAGGGGGCATGGCTCGATAGGATTCAGTGCAAATCCTTGCAGCCTAGCACAGCACCGAGTGTTTCACCACAGACTAGTGCTCCGTGTCAGGTTATCGCTGGCCTCTTGTTACCACCAGCACTAAGAATCTTCAACAACTTTTACTAAAAATGCAAACAAGGAGGAAAGGCGCACAGAAGCACGTGCAACTCATTTACCTTATTTCCTCTCTTGCTTCCTCCTTTCATTTTAAAGCCTTGTCTGGAGGAGAAAGGGGGGGAGGAAAACCCCCTATAGTTTTGTAAATCCAAATCCAAACAAATCCAGCCTTTCCCAAGAGGAAAAATCATCTCTTCTATGCCAAATACACATGCTTAACACCAGACTACTGGCTAGTACGGGATCAGACACACAGCATTGTGCATGTACCCGCTTGCCTCAAATATTTCCGTGATAAAAGTCCTGGTGAACTCGCTCCGTTCCCGCAGACGGCCTCAGTTCTGATGCGTTGGCACTTCTCGGCGCACCAGTGATTAAGCAGGCCTTTCCTGACCAGTTCTGCAGCTGTGCGGAGCGCTGCTCGCCTCGGGTAAACAGGTTAGCAGGGCGGCGAAAGCCACCCAGCGCTCCCACGAGAGAAAACACGAGCGAGAAAACGGAGGGGCACACGCAGCGCCGGCCCCTCCGCGAGAAGCCGCTGCGGAGCCGCCGCACGAGCCCCTCGCCTTGACACCTCTTGCGGGGCGAAGCCACCAGCTCGGCGCCCCGGCTGGGTCCACGCTTTCCTTCCTTAAAAAGGGGCCGTTTTCCTCCTCCAGCCCCAAGGAGGGCAGCTCCAGCCTTGGCACCCTGCGGGGAAGGGGGCCCGCGGGGCAGCAGCGAGGGCGGCCGCTCGGCGCGGGGGTCCCGCTCAGGGGAAGGCGGCCGCAGGGGGCAGAACCGCGCGAGGGGGCGAGCAGCGGGAAGGGACAGCGTGGCCGCCGGGCGCTGCCTCCCGCTCCCGCTCCCGTTCCCGTTCCCTCAGCAGCGCCCCGGGGCACCGGGCGGGCGCCGCCCTGCGCAGGCAGCGCGGCCATGGCGCCCTGGGCGGAGCGGAGCGGGGCGGGCGCAGGCGCGCGGCCCGTGACGGCGCGGGGCGGAGCGGCGCCTCAGTCGGCAGCGAGCGGGGCCGGCGCCGCCATGTCCATGGAGGACCCCTTCTTCGTGGTGAAGGGGTGAGCGGGGCCGGGCTGCCGGGCCGGGGAGGGCGGAGGGGCCGCCGAGGCCGGCCCCGCCGCCGCGCGGGGGTCCTGGGCACCTAAACAACCCCGAGAAATCAGGAAAAAAATCAAAACCTAAAAAGATCTAAATTCAAAAAGATCAAAAGCCCGAACACCACCGAAATTAAAAATGCAAGGCACAAAGCAACAGCGCCCTCCCCAAAGCGCGTGCGAAGCCCCGAGGTGCCCGAAGGGCCGGGCGGGCGATGGTGCCTTGTGCAGGTGTCTGTCGGGCCCTCCCGTGGGGCACGAGGGACGTGGCGATGCCTTCGGAGCCGCCCCGTGCCTGGGCATCCCACAGCGCCCGCGAAGGGAGGCACCAAGCGCGGGGGCAGAGCTGTGGTTAGCAGGGCAAGGAGTCTCGGCCTCAAAAAACGGGGCGACTGTGCGGTGGGGAGGCCACGAGGATGCCAACAGGGGCTGGGCGGCGTGGAGGGATCCCAAGAGGCGTGGGAGCAGGGTGGCAAGGTGATGCTGGCGCCTGTCGTGAGCCCGGATAGCGAGGGAGGGAAGCGAGTGTCCCAGCGGTGTGAGGGGAAGGCGTGGGAGCGGAGCGGGAAGCGCTGCCGCCTGCCATGTTCCTTATTCTCCCGCCGCCTGGCCCGGCTTCCTTCACTTCGTTTCCCTGCGGCTCGGCGCTCCTCCCCTCTGCAAACATCCAGCTCGGCTCCCGGCTCCCGCTTGGAGGCACTTCCTCAAGCGCCTCTGCTCGCGAGGAACGGAGGAAACAAACCCCACGAGATCCTTCATCTGTGCTGTTGGCTGCAGGGAAGTAGGTGCAACAGACACCGAGCAAGAGGAACCAGGGGGGAGAAAGTGCTGCCACCCCGCCTCCGTGCCCGTGCTGCTCTGGAAAGCTGGGAGCAGCAGAGGAGGCACCGCTTTGCTACGCCCGTGCGCAGGAGCCGGGTGCTAAAATCAACAGCGCTGCACTGGACAGTCTGTGCAGCTGGAGTGTGGCGGTAGTTCTTGTCGTTCTCTTTGCCTTTGGCCTAGGTGGTCAACAGTCTTTCGAGGAAGGATGTTGACAGAAATGAGGAATAGTAATGGCTAGAGAAGAGTGTTGTTCAGCCCGCTGCACTGCCCTGTCTGGGCTTTTGTGACACTTGCTAGAAAGCTCCCCTAGAGAAGAAGGCCCCGTAGGTAACTGTGGTAGCTGAACTGTGAACTGTTGCTCTTCGTGCTGTGACATGAAAGGAGAGGGGGTTGCCCAGAAGTATGGGGAATCCTTATTTTACCACGTGAACTAAAGCATTTGCAGTAAAGTTGTTTGCGGGGAGGTTGCACTTCCCTGCGCTGCAGGGAACTGCTAAATCACCCAGCGCAACTTCTAAAAAAATTTTTTTTTTTAAATGATGATAATCCCTTCACTTCTCTTTAATTATCCTGACTGCAGGGAGGTGCAGAAAGCAGTGAACACTGCCCAGGGGCTCTTTCAGAGGTGGACAGAGCTCTTGCAAGATCCCTCTATCGCCACTAGAGAAGAAATCGACTGGACCACTAATGAGCTCCGGAACAATTTGCGGAGCATTGAGTGGGACTTGGAAGACCTGGATGAAACAATTAATATCCTTTCCGTACCACCGGGGCAGTCTTTGGGGGTAGCAACATGCAGTTTCCACCATGTAATAAACAGTCAAGAGCTACTGTTACCTTAAGCTAAGTTACCTTTTGCAGAAACCAAGACCACTTGGGACTGAATTTTCAGCCTACCCCAGGTGTTTTCAGATTGCAGCTGATGACAAAACATGTCTGCAAACAAATTTCTCTGTGCACTTTTGCTTTCCTCTTGACGAGGTGTGTTTAGGATGCTTCCAGTCTGTTCTGCAGATTGCACGTGGGTTTCTGCGTGGTCAGTCCTGCTCCAGGCTAGCTTCCAGAAACGCTCCTTTGCCCTTGTGTCCTGCTGAACACTCTTGCAGCAGACAACCCCAACCCAGACCCACGTGAGGCTTCCCTCTCACATGCTTTTTCCCTTAGTGTCCTGTAGTTTGCTGCTGAAATTTTGGGGAAAACAGCACGGCTCAGGGGAGGGGCTGTGCCCCGACAGATCCCTTCGTGCCGCTCAGCGTTTCGGGGTTTGCGAGCGCGCTGCACACCGAGCACGGTGATTCCTTGACTCGTCGCCCACGCATCGTCGAGGCCAACCCGCGGAAATTCAACCTCGATGCCACCGAGCTGGGCATACGCAAAGCCTTCATCACGGGCACGCGGCAGGTGGTCAGGGTAAGGAACTACCCAAACCGCTCTCCTCGCAGCAGAGTAGAGAGCTGCTACCTCCTCTCTTGGGCTTCTTCCTCTTCCCCATGTGCTACCCCCATGGGCATCCCTGACAGGCAGCGAGGATGCAGAGGCCTCATTGCATCCCCTAGCTGGCCCTTTCAGCTGCTGCTTTAAGTCCTCAGATCTCTCTTGTAATGATGGACCTGGAAATGCTGAAAGTGAAGGCCCAAGATCCCTCTTATCTGGGGGAAACTGGAGTCTCCCTTCAGAGGTAAAGGAAATAGTAAGCGTCTTTTACTTGTATCACTAGTTTTCAAAAACAGAAGGTCCCCTTCGAGCACTCACTAGCGTTGTTTACATGGTGACTTCAGCTTCCTACTGCTACAGAACAGTCAAAGCAGCCACTAGCTTTTATTTTTAGCTGGGGGAAGTTAGGCTTTTTTTTGTGTCAGCCTCATGCTTTTAAATACCAGCCCTTCGAAGAGAGGTGGGCCTGGCAAAGTCCTGCCTCCTGGGCAGCAGTTTCAGAAAGCCCAGAGCTGCAGGCAGGGTGCAAGTGAAGAGACACGCAGTGTGGGCTGCAAAGGGAACAACATTTGCTTACATTGCTTTGAGGCAGGATATGGAAGCTAGACAGGGATTTCACACAGTTAATAGTAATAATTGGGAGGGAAAAAAGACATGTCTCCAAAAGCCTGAGAAGAAACTGCTAGTTAGAAAGTTTTCTCTGTATTAATGTAGCTCTCTCTGGCAATGTGGCCCCTCATAGCTTGGATGTTTCTGCTGCATAAAATGCATTGCTGTGGCTAGAAGCAAGCTCATGATCCTCCCTGTAACGCTGCGGTCTGGATACAGTTCCTAAGGCTTGCTGCTCGGGAGGAGATCCTGAAGCCATTGCAGCCCCGAGCAGGGGGCATGTGCTTGCTTACCTGCTCGGTGGAGCCTACTGCCCAGACCAGCAAGATCCATCAAGCCTGGTTCATAGTCCTCTTTTTTTCAGGGTGCAGACCTCTGGCTACAGTTAAATGGAAGTTTTTCCTGGCATTATCCAGTTGGCTTCTGTAGCAGCATGTGCATTAGCTGCTGACAAGTAGCCTGGTGGGTTCTGGTGCTCTTAGAAGACGTGTTGCATATCTCTGAACCCTAAAACATACCCGCCTCTCGTGGTGCAGTCAGACCAGTGCTGGTGGATGAGAAGAAGCAAACCTTGCTGGGTCATATGGGCTCTTTCATCATCTATCCCGCAAGAACTGAGCTACTTTACCAAGTGCTTGGGAGCCTTTTATGACCAGCCAGCTCTTACTTTATCTTAAGAACGAACCTTAATTCCTAATAGAGAACTCTAGGCATAATCAGAATGGATTGCCATAGGTCTAGAAATCTGCCTTGGCCTCTGCCGTGTGAACCCAGAGGAAAATGGGAATGAAGCACAGCTTACAGGCTTCCAGCTCCTTCAAGACAAGAGCATAACACTTCTTTACAATCTGTTAATGGGAAGATCAGTTTAATCCTACACAAATCCAAAAGTTTCTGGCTGTAGAAAAGCAAATCTAGTAGTAAATAAGTAATATTTTCAAAATAACCCCTGGGTATTGACTGCATGGTAGCAAACGGAAGCTGCCTGTCGCCTCACATCTAATGCTCACCTAGTTCTTCTTTCCTTGAATAAACAGGACATGAAGGATCAGATGTCAAACTCTTCCATGCAAGCACTGGCTGAAAAAAAAAACAGGCAGGTGAGTTTCTGAAACAGGCAAGTTCAGTGAGTGCAGTGGTTTTTTGTTTGTTTGTTTTTTGATACTTTAAAGTACAAGGAGGATTTATCAACTTTAGCAGCTGTTGTTTTAAGGTGTTACACGAAACTTTCATTTTCACTTGCTCTCGGGCCCACCCTACGTCCTCAGGTAGGGTGTATGGTGTTGAACAAAGCTGCTTAAAAGCAGTAATTACAGTATATATCCCGGTTTGTAGCTCATCTCCTAAAAAGATTTTTGCTGCGAGGGGTCTACGTGTTGTAACAAAGCTGAGTGTTCGAGCAGTGCCTGTTTTGCTGACCTGTCATTCCAGAGCCCGTGGGAGCTGGCTCTCCCAGGCATGTTGCTGTCACCCTCTTCCAAACCTGTCTCTCGGAGTCATTGGTTACCACTCACCATCCATCTCTGCCATCAGCACTGACTATGTATGACTGTCAGGGTTGCATCACCCTTCAGGAAAGGGAATCTCCCTCCTTCGCAGCAGGAGCAGAGTCAGAATCCAAGGCAATAAATGAAATCCTGTGCTCTGCTTTATTTGGGAGCCAGGATGCTTTGTATCCTAAAAAATAACTACATCTTGTAATAGTTAATAACCTGATAAGAAGGTGCAGGAGGTTCAAGGAGTCTCAGGTTGCCCATACTAAGTAATAGATGGAGCTTTTCCTCCCCTCCAAGTCAGTTTCCAAAGCTGCTTCTTGTAATAGTTGGCCTACACGTCACACAGACTTCCCTGACTGGATCTATGTTATCATTTGTAGCTAAAATGACAAACTCTGGAACTCTTCTTCTGCTGAGGAAGACAGAGCTAATTCCTGAGCTTGCTGCAGGGTCGGTTAACATGCTTGGAGAACACTTGAAGAAGCAGAGTCCTTAATGCCCCTGCTCAGACATTCTGCTCCTTTCCTTTCCTTGGCCATATGGCCCAGTTCATGCAGTGACATCTGCTCAAGAAAACTGATTCCTCGTGGTATCTTCCTTTCCCTTCTCCCGTTACGCCCCCTTCTCTTCCAAGTGCACGCTGAGCTGTGCCGGGCTGCCCATGCCTCTCTGGAGGGCCTCTGTGTTGGAGGCTGCGGTGACTTGAGCCCCGCAGTGTTAAGCTGAGCATGGGAAGCACGGGCTATTCAAGCACAGCTAGAGCTCAGCGTTAAATTAGTGGGAGCAGTGCTGGCCCCAGACTCGAGAGCATCGGGCACTTGCCCAGCATCTCGGGCGTGGATGAGAGCAGATGTCTCTCTGGCATCCTGCGTGCTCCCTCACGGCTCTCTCTGCCCTCCCCGACCTTTATAAACCAGCTGAACCGTAGAGCCCGTCTCATGTTTAACCTTAGTCGCCTGGTCCATGTCTGGCTGCTCTTCACAAAGGCACCATTGTCCCCGTTGGGGCGGCTGAACGTGGCTGCCCACGCTCAGAAGCTGCGGAACGTTCTCGTCTCGCCCTCCTCGCCTCTCTCGAAGAGCCGGCCGAGCCTCTCGGCTGGCGAGCGCAGCTCCCTGCCGTGGCACAGCGCTGCACGCTGCAGCTCCTCGCCTCCTGCCCGCAGCTGCTGCTTCAGCACCGTCGCTCGCGCTGCCTGTTCCAGGGACCAGATTCCCTGGGCTGGAGAGACCTCTTCTCCATTGGCTCTGCACATGCTTTTCTCTCCAGCCTGCAGAGCAGGAAGCAAGTGTGAGCTTGTTGCTGTTGTAAATAGTATGCAGGAGGAGCAGGTCACTTGAATCAAAGAACCCGAGTCCTGTGTACAGTGATGCACTGTGTATGTTCTGCACTGTTCTACGCTGTCAGCCTTGTGTCAGCCCCTTCTTACATCCCAGTCATTCTTAGCACAGCGCTCAGCTCATGCTGCGTGTCTCTTAACACTAAATATGTGGGTGCTTCCCAGCTCGCGTGTCCTCCTTGCACACAACACCGCACCACGAGCAGGCTTTGGACTCCTGCAGACATCCTGCTTGTGCATCCCATCATACTCCAACTGTGCCCTGGCTCCAGGGGCGGATCTGCAGCAAGCAGGCTGCAGGGTTTCCTGAGGTTGGCACTGTAGCCCTGGGGCTGGGCAGGCAGGAAAAGGGTGCTGCTGTATGTGTTTATCCAGGAGTTTCCACTTTCCCACTACACCCAGACAGTCTGCGGAGGGGCACAGAGGTCTTGCTAAGGGCTTTCTGCATCTGTTTAGGCACTCCTGGGAGAAAGTGGAAGTCAGAGCTGGAGCTCTGGACCTGACAAATACAGCCGCCTGGACCGGGATCTGCAGCTAGCAAATTCGCACTTCATTGAGGAGCAACAAGCCCAACAACAGGTAAGGCACCACGTCAGCTGAATGCCCATGTTTGCCAAGGTTGGCAAGCACATGCCAGGTTGATGGTGCACAAGCTGCAAGAGCAAATAAATAATAAAAAACCCATCTAGTCCCCAGCTGGTGTGAAGCCAGGAGCCTGATAACCCACTGCTTAGCTGCACTATAGACCCGTGTGCCTGTTCTCTGCTCAGTGTGGGTTTTGATGCATCATGGCAAAGAGTTTTTAACCGTTTACACCTGGATATTCTGCTGTGTATGCAAGGCAGACAAGATGATCTGAAAGCTGCAGCATGCTAAGCTTTGATCTCTGGAGGTCCCTTCTAACCTTAACAGTCTGTGATTCTGTGTGTGATTCTGTGATTGACTACTGCAAGGATTTCAGCAATCCCTGAAAGAGTAGAAATGCTGGGAAAAGAAGAGTGCCTCTTAGGTAGCTTCCCTGGTTAAAGAGTGAGCTGGTATGTGCCATTTTTGTGCATCTTCACCAGAATAGCCTCAGCAGGAGCACGTGCCTACTTCCTTTTTTTCTGCCTTTGACCACAAGATTCACTAGCAGATGTGTCAGGGCTTTGCTAGGCTCCTTCGTGCCAGGGTTCACTGCAGCTGGTGGGCTTTGTTTGGAGAAGTGCCGGGGCCACAGCCCACCCAAACACAGGCCCTTAAATAGCCACTCTCTGAGGCAGCAAACTGCAAAGCTCCTGCCACGTGAGGCTGCTCTGGCTTCCAAATGAGTTTTACCTAGTGACTCTAGGAAGATAAATAGACCCAGAAGTAGGTAACTAGGGTAAACCTAATCCTTAGCATGACTCTGCCCTGAAAATGACTTAAAACATCAGCAGACCTGTTCCTTGGGCGCATTCAGAGCCAGCCTTGTTATTTTTAGCCAGAGAAGCTGCAGCAGCTCTCGACTCTCTTTAACCCTTTGTTAACTCTGCTGCCTGCTCTGGGTGGTGGTCCTCAGATACCCCCTGCCCTGCTCGCTGAGGACAGCAAGGATTGGGGAGGCTCTGCTGGCAGGGAGCTGTGGCTTTGGAAAGGCTTCTTGGTGGTGGGAGAGGACGCAGCGTGGCCTGGTTTGCAGCAATGCGAGGAGGGCCTCTGCAGCTGGCTGGGGTGCCGTGAAGCCTGGGAGGCTCTTGCGCTGCTCTCAGTTCTCGAGCGTTTCTCAGAAATGCGGTCATGCTTCCTGGAGGCCGAGACCTGTCCCCAGGCTCCGCAGTCGGAATTGGTAGAGTTGAGCGAGCGGCCGTTCAAGCAGCCGGCTGTGAGCCAGTTGCAGAAGGCGGCAGGACTTTAACTGCCCTTTTCCCTTCTTTTTGGCACCAGCTGATTGTGGAGCAGCAAGATGAGCAGCTGGAGCTGGTCTCTGGCAGCATCGGGGTGCTGAAGAACATGTCGCAGCGCATCGGCGGCGAGCTGGAGGAGCAGGCAGTGTGAGTGCTGAGCCCCTGCAGCGCATCTGCAGCGAGCAGTCCCTTGCTGACAACCCTCTGCTGCCCTTAGGGCTTGAATTTCCTCATCCCTTGGGCCTTCGCTCCTTGTGAAGTGCCCCAAACTGCCTTAATTTCAGGCAGTGGGAAGCATTTCTCAGGCCTGCAAAGACATGGGCACAGGCATCTCCCTCTGGACCTAGGGCAGGGCTAGCTGCCTCTTCTCCCTCTCCTCTCTCTAGTCTTTCTAAACACCCTCCTTGGAGCACAGCGTTGTGCTGCTTGGGCATCAGCCGCCCGGCAGCACTGAGCAGATACAGGAGGGCGGTCACTTGTCAGCGGGACGCCAGGCACTTGCCCGCTGCACAGGGTTTTGTGCTAGCCCTGGGTAACTGTCTGGGGTTGCACAACTCGGTAGCGCAGAGCCCTGCCTTGCCATATTTGAAACCTGCAACACAGAGCTGCTACTTGTAGTTAAAGCTAAAAATAATGCTCACCCACGCCAAGGGTTAACGGGTTGCTCACAGACTGCTTTGCATCCATCCATTTACATATAAATTAGATTTCTTTCCCAGTGCACGTTCTTTGCAAAGAAGACCCTAACGTTTCCAGCTATGCAGGCTAGTAACTTAGGTCTTAACTTAAAGGGTTCATGCCTAAAATCTCCTTGTTTGGTTGGTAATAGTCTGCAGGGCTCTGGATGTTTTCTTTGATTGCTTTGATTGGGGAGTTAGAAGTGCACCCGTGGGACTCTTTTACAACTCTCTCTTCTACCCCAAATGAACGTTTGACCAAAAGGTGGGACAGAAAAGGTGGGACAGTGGAAGCAACTTGAGTGCCCTAGAACTGCAGATGAAGGGAGCTGTCTTTTTAAGCACATACAACCTCTAGAGTCCTGCCCACTGAGACAAGTACCTTGGGTCTGGGTGTACTCATTTGTCTTGGCGTAGATTCTTGCCACTGACAAAGCCCTGCTTCAGAAGCCTTTCAGATCCATTACAGTTGCTGTGTGAAGGAACTGGATAGGTAACTTCCATGCAGAGCCCAAAAGGCACAGGAAAAGCAATTGCAGATGTCTGCTTCAGATGTTTGCTTCAGCTGCAAGCCTGGAACAACAAAACAGATTTGAAGTCCAAACTTTGCCTCAGTCTAACCGCTCTCTGCTAATCATGGATTATAAAAAGGACTTTAATCTTAGAAGGAGGAAAAACCCCGCTCCTCACCTTTGAGGGGTCAGCAGAGCTCACCTGCAAAGTGCCTGTGTGCACTCCGGGGGGTCAGTGAAGCAAGCAGCAGTCCCAGCTGGGTTCCCTTGCCACCAAAGCAGAGCTGCTGCTTGAGCAGGTGCTTTTTTTGCTTGGGTGCTTTCAAGCCATATTGCTTTTCTTTGCTGGGGTCTGATAAGCTGCTCCCATTGGTGTTTTGGTCAGTGCACGTTGGCACATTGAGAAATCCCCAAGGGACACATGGCTTGCTAACTAGTACTGTTCTTCTCTGCCTCAGGATGCTGGACGACTTCTCGCATGAATTAGACAGCACCCAGTCACGGCTTGATAACGTCATGAAGAAGCTTGCAAAAGTGTCCCACATGACAAGCGGTAGGTCCCGAAAGGGAGAAAGGCCAAAGGATTTAGGATTTTAGGGCTAGGACACATCATGATCTTTATTACTTACCAAGGGCCTGCCCGCACCTAGGAAAAAGAGGGAACAGCTTTTTGCCAGTGCCTGAGAGGTTAAAGATGGGGGAGTGCTCTAAACTGCGCTCTCATGCCAAGATCCTGCTCTGTAACTTCTGCTCAGCTTCGTTTTATTTACAGATGCCTTTCTGGGCTGCTGCTGGGGTGGGAAAATACCTCTCAGGGCCGAGCAGACGCTTCCAGGGTGGCACGGAACGGCCGCGGCTCTGGGTGGCTTCCCCTGCACAAGCCCTGAGCCACAACAAGTCCCCTCTTAGCCCTGGGGACTGCGGGCGCCTCGGCTGCCCAAAGCTGGCAGAGGTGGCTGCTCGTCGGGGGCAGAGGCTGGGCCCGCAGAGAAGCCCTTACGGGGCTGTGCAGGAGCCTGGTGGGTCTAGCAGCTGGCGGGAGCCCCGGCCACACGAACCAGACCCTGAGGAGCGCTCGGAGCGCGCTGTGCTGCAGCCGCCACCCCCTCCCACCCATACCGGTCTAGTTTGGGAAGTGGAAGCAAGTCAGGAAGCAGAGGAGTGTTCTCGCTCTGCAGCATTAGGCTGGGCAGGTAAGTCAGGGGGTTACTGAAATACAGCGGCTCAGAGTGCCGACAGTTTCCTTTGGGTCGCAGGTGATCTGGGGGCAGCCCGCCTGCTGGCAACCTTTGCCTATCCTGACTTTGCACCGATGAAAAAACAATACGCTTTGATCCTTTCAAAGTGCTTGTGCTCATGGTGAAAGACGAGCAGGAGAGGCAGGGCTGATTCCGGGAGGCTGTGAGGGCTTTTCCCAGGGCACCTGCCGGTACCTCCTTTGCAAAGAGGACTGGTCTGGCTGAGCAGTGGGGCTCCCACGAAGGTGTAAGTGGCGACGCAGCCCCGAGTGGCTGAGAACATTCCTCTGGCCTGCGAGGTGGGCTGAGACATCTGGGAAGGAGGAAACCTCATTCCCGGGACTCTCTGACGGAGAGCTGAGACAAGCTGTTCCCGGCAGAGCTATTTTAGAAACCTTTCTTTGTTACCCCCTTTTGTTTCTCTAGCAAACGAGTTATACAACAAACTAGCAGCAACACACAACAGCTTTCTGCTTGTTCCTCCCGATAATTTTTGAACTGATCAAATTGACCTGAACTTAGCTAAGGAGTAACCTGAAAACTCAAACAGCTGTCAAAAAAAAAAAAAAAAAAAAAAAATCCTGGAGGAAAATCTGTGTGGTCGCCTCGCTAGACTGCAGTGGGAAGTCATCCCTTTTGGAGGAGGGAAGCAGGACAAGCCCTGGTCTTGTCTGGGGAGCCTTTGCCTTCCCGTGGGTTTCCTTTAGCAGGAGCCGGATCCCAGCAGTGCCAGGGAGGAAAGCTCTGCTCCCCTACCCCAGCTTCCCTGTAGCAGTAGGAAAACCGGCACTTCCTTTCTCTTGCAGATCGACGGCAGTGGTGCGCGATTATCGTCCTCTTTGTTATCTTGCTGGTGGTGCTCATCCTGCTTTTTGTCCTGTGACGGACTGAACTTCTTGGACGCCCCCCTTCCTGTCCCCTTGCCCTCTTAAAATGGGGATATGAAACTGTTGCTGTTTCCGTCCGCCCTCAGAGCACCCCGTGGAGAAAACCCGCGCCCAGCTCTTGCCATCCCGCTGAGGACTGAGTGCCGTGGGCGGGCGCTGCTGTCGCCCCGCTCATCCCTGGGTGGGGGGATTTGCAGGAGTTTGTCCCCGTGCGGGGACCGGGCTGCCTCTGCCCTCGCGGCTGCCGGCTCAGGACTAGGGCAGCTGGAAAGGGCTCGACCACTGTGCCCCCTTCCCAGGTAGGAGCCTTGGGTGCCGAGCCCGCCGGGGTCACGCACAGGGACGGCGCAGCTTGTCCTTAGCGGGGGAAGGAGGGCTGGCTGTTCACTGTGAGGAGCGGCAGCAGCAGCCAGCTGTGTGGCACCCGTGGGCGCTCACGAGGGAGGCAGGGTGGCCCAGGGCCCTTTCATTTCTCCTTGGGCCACCCTCGCTCTGCAGCTGTGCCCTAGGCCCCCCCGCCAAGGCGACTGCTTTGTCTTGCCAACCAAAAGCAGCCGCCAGAAGTGCTGTCTCAACCAGACAAAAACAAGCAACGTGAACACGTACCTGGGTGTCCACGGCGCAGCTGGCCGCCTTCCTGCGCGCGGGCTTGCAAAATACTGCCGCGGATCCGGAGCAGAGCGTAAGCAGCGCAGGGTGTGCTCTCCTGCCACAGGTGAGACCATGGTCACAAGAAACTCCAGAGCTTTAAGCTTGTGTTAATGCACTGCAGGCTGGAAGCTGGCAAACAAACATCAGCCTGGGGGCAAGTGTCGTAGAGCTTCTCAAAGTCTCCTTCCTTATACGGGCCTTTAAAGCTCTTGGACTGATGCTTTCCTTGTGTCACTGAATAGCTTCTTCTGTCCAACAGCTGCTTCCCTTTGGCGAGTGACTTGTCAGTTCCAAAATAAATTATTTTTTTTTTAGGAAAAGAACGTTAAAGATTTTTTCAGTGACCATTAGAGCCACATTATCTCTGTGGATGCAAGACGTGTTATCAGAGGAATAGGGTTTAATTATGTATTTTAACTGCATATGAACATGTAAATAGAATGTCTGAACTTTTCCCAACTTATATTTTTTTTTGGGATACTTACTTCGTATGAAGCCAGAAGGCATGAAATTCAGAGCTAAGTCGCCTTTCTGTATTACTGCCCAGGCCTTTGGTTACCTCTAATTTGTCTCAGATGTGTTGCTTAGGCCTAGTTTTCCTGCTCCTGCAGCAGTTTAGGAGGTATAGCCAGTTAGTTGAAACCTAATGTGGTCTAGAAAGCTCATCCTGGCAGTATTACTTGGGAGAAATACCAGTAGGAGTTTTGTGTTGCACTGTTGAGTGCAGAAACAGGGGGTGATACTTGATAAAAAAAAATTACTAAAGTCCTTTCCCTTATTTAACTTTTGGGAAAGAAGCAGAGTCAGGACGAGCTGACTTTACACTCTCCATCTGCATCTCGGATGGGGCTGGAGGGGGAAGTCAATTGGTGCTGACACTAAAACTTCCTCAAAAACTGCAAAAACCGATTCAGTACCCCGAGAATCATGCGCCCCAGGAGTGAACTTCACCACATGGCCGACCTGAACCCCGCTGGATCTTCAGCCCGTACCGAACAGTCCTGCAGGCGCCGGTGCTGCGCGGTGCCGCAGCGTGACGTGGCCGCCGGGGCTGGGCAGGGGCGAAGGCCGCGTCGCACCCCGCGCCGCCGCGGTGGAAGCTGCTGTAACTGCTGCACACCTGTCCTTAACACTAACATGCGAAAATTGTTTCGGCGAAAGCTCTTAATTATCCCAGGGCATCCTGTTCATCTCGGTTACGTCATATTAAATATGTCTCCTTTCCAGTAGTTGCTCTCACGACGTGTGTTCATCCCCGTGTGTTCGGTACCGCTGCGGGAGCAGATTTGCAGCACGGCGTGAAGGTGCCGGTCAGTGGTCCTCTTCTGTGGGGACCTGGACGCGATGGAGTCCTGCTCCGGGCTGCTCCCACCTCACTGCTGCGGGAGGATCCCCAAGCATCCCCACCTGCTCACGCTCATCTTCTGGGGACAGAGCAGATGGCCACATGTTGGGGGCTGCTGCCTTCTCCCAAAGGGCTACTGGGCACCTGGAGCCTGCGTTGCACACACAGGAGGAACGGGCAGGAGGAGGAGAACACCACCCCTGCTTTAACTTGCCCCTCTTCTTCAGCAGGCTCAGCACACGCAGCCTCAACAGCTCTTCCTTTCTCTACATAACTCTGTCCCCCGTGTTAAGTGTGGTCGCTCATTCTCCAGGGATTGCCCATGACGGTTCTTGCAGGACGGTGCCTATGGTGAAGGTGGAGGGAGCTGCTGCACTTCTGTCCATGTCCATCTAGGCGTCATTGCCATCTGCCAAACCATCTTCCATCGCCTTTCCTCGTGTATTTGCCTCTCTTGGTCAGTGACGCCCCTTGACGCTGAATAAAAGTGTAACTGCAGGCCGGCGCGCCGGGCGCGGAGGCAGCGGGAGCTCCTCCCGGCGCTCCTGGCTGCAGTTGGGCAGCGCTCTCCCGCGGCCGGCACCCGCCTTCCTCCCCGGCACCCAGGCCTTGCGACCGGCTGGGGAAGAGCTCCCCCAAGCTACAGCGAGGAGCCCCACCGCGTGCAGGCCCTTCCCTGGCAACACCAGTGTGGGGAGCAGCTGGGGAGAGGCCGCCAGGGCCCTTGTTCCCCAGGGCGCTCTCAGGGCTCTGCTCGGCATCACCCTCCTGGCTTGCAAGGCACAAACATCAGGATTTCCACTTACGGTGGCTCCGCTGTGGGCCCTCTTGGCCCTCCCAGATATGACCCATCCTTTCTATAGGAGGAGGCAGCCCCAAGGAGAGAGGCTCAAGGGGGCCGAGGCAGGCACTGCAGGACACCAGCCGGCCACCCAGGCAGGCTTCCGCGTCGCTGGGAACGAGCAGGGCCTGGTGCACGAGAGGCTCCCAGCCCGCGCGGCCAGAGCGGCTCCGTCCCTCAGCGGCGCCCTCACAGAGGCGCCCTCAGGCCGCGCTGAGCAGCTCGGCGGCAGCAGCTGCCGCGCACATGGCAGGTGAGGCGCCGCCCAGCCCCTCCGCACCCTCCTCAGCAGCCAAGAGAGGCCTTGAGAGGTGGCACCGCAGGGCCCCTTGGCGCCGGGCTGCCCCGGCCTAGAAAACCTCGGCAGCCCCCTCGGCGACGTGCCCAGCCAAGTCGCGCCATTCCCACCCGCCAAAACCAAGCCCCTCGAGCACGGGCGATGCGACTCCTTCAGCCCCAGCTTAGCCCAAAGACGGTTTAGGGTGCGAATGCCCCCGGGCACATTTGCCCACAGTGCCCTTATCCAGGAAGACCCACAGTCCGCACAGCCCCCCACATACCCGTGGCTCTCACTGCAAGCTCTGCTGAACGGCCACAGCATCACCCTGTCCCAAGAAAACCCTGCTGCTAGCAGGGCGGGGGGACCCCTAATCGTCCCCTCTTGCTTTAGCCTGGCGCAACGCATGGAGCAACCAAGGCGCCCTCAGCGCACGCGCAGCCTCCAGCCTTGCACGCGTGGCCCCCAGCCCCATACCGCCCACGCATGGCCCCAGCGGGGAAGGAGGCCCCCTCCACTCGTCCAGGCACTGTTCCCTCCTATGAAACAGCCATCCACAAACCTCTCCCCCCACAAGACCCCAGAGCCACCGGCAAGGAGACTTTGGGCAGCCTGGGTTGTTTTTTACCATTTCTTTTTCACTCAGTCATTTATAATAATTTAAGCCAAAACTGACAGCCCACAGAGGCATCCCACACCATTGAGGAGCCCCTCGGGGACACCAGGCAGCTCCTGGGGATACCAGACACAATCAGCAGTGGATCCTGCATTATTGCCTTGCCTCCCAGGCCTGGGGACATCAGGTCTTCTCCCGATGTGCGTTGGGGGGAAATAATATTGCACAGAAAGAGCCCAGGTCCTCTGGGGCCCAGAGAGGGGTCGGCAGCGCTGGTGGGAGGGCAGGCAGGGCAGGATAGCGGCGCCGTCCCGCAGCAGCACCCCAGTCCTCAGGCCGCCTCCCACGGCCCTGCCGCTACCGCCGGGGCGGGCGCTGGCGCAGCACGCGCAGGGACAGGGTGTCCGCGCGGAGCAGCAGCTCGTGGAGCTGCACCGGTGCCAGGCCTGACACCGCCGCCCCGTTGACCTGCAGGATCTCGTCGCCCACGGCGAGGAGCCCAGCGTAGAGCTTGGCCGTGCCAGCATCCGCCATCTCCTGCACGTAGACACCTGCGGAGCGAGGCCAGGTGAGCTGAATGCCCTCGCAGCAGCCCCAGCTCCCGGAGAGGGACAGGAGCTGCCCTGGAGAAGGAGCTTGGGGGTCTCTGGGGTGGCAAAGCGCCGCTACCTGTGTCGGGGCGGCCGTGGCTGGAGGCAAGGCGAAAGCCGAAGGTGCCGTCGGGCGGCCGCCGCAGCTCCAGCTGGCTGGTGCCATCGGGGAAGACCTCGACCACGCGGCCCACGGCACGGGGCAGGTCGGGGGCACCAATGTCCTCCAGGCTGAGCGAGCGCCCAGGCGCTGGGCCGCCCTTGCTGCTGGCAGAGGGCACCGAGCTGCCGCGGGGCCCGCAGGCAAAGAGGCCACCCCCAACAAGACTCCATCCCTGCACACCCCAGCCTACCTGTCTCCCGGCTTGGGCACCAGGTAGGCGCTGGCGCGGGGCGCCTTGGCCAGGAGGCTCTGGAGGCTCTGCACAGAGGCCGCTCGCCGGGGCTGCCTGAGGGGCGAGACCTGCTGAGAAAACACCTGGCTGAGAGGGGACATGACCTGCACGCGGGGCCCCTTCCCTACCCCTGAATCTGCCTCTCCACCACCCTGCCCACTGCCCCCAACAGCGCGGAGCAGGGACTCACCATGTGCAGGGACTGCAGCGAGGGTGACTTTTGCATGGCAGGTGGCGCAGGACTGGGCGGCGCGGGGCCGGGCGGCGCGGGGCCGGGCCCCGGCAGCTGCTCCATGCTGTAGCAGCGGAAGCGGCCCAGGCGCTGCTTGGTGCCCTGGCTCAGGCTGCACAGCAGTTTCCTCAGGCCGCTGGCGGCAGCGCTGCCCCCCTTGCGGCTGCTGGGGGCCTCTGGGGTGGTGCTGCGGGGACAGGACATGCGTGATCACTCGGATGCGTGGACAGCGGGAGACACAGTCCCTGGCACCCTCGCTCACCTGCCAGCGCTGCTGCCCTTGGGACGTTGCTGCTCCTGCGCCAGGGGTTTCTCTGCTGCTGGCTGCAGTGAGGCACCTGCAGCGGTGGCACCAGCCCTGAGCCCTCCGGCCAGCGCCCGGCCCTGGGTGTTGTTGCAGTTGTTGGTAGACAGGGTGCCGAGGGGGCCGTCAGGGAGGTGCCCGGCGCGACATGGGGATGGTCGCTCCACAGGGGCCGCGGGCTCAGGGCTGGGACCCCGAGGGCCACCCGCTTTCCTACAAGGTGCTGGCGAGCGGCCCCGGCCAGGGACACCCGCGGCGGAGGGCTCAAGCCCCACCTGCAGAGAGGGGGCCTTGTGCGGCCCCACGCCGGCTTCACGGCCACCAGTGCTCCCAAGCGGCGCCGCGCGCAAGGAAGGCACTTCAGGCCCGTTGACTGAAGCCTTGGGCTCTGCCGACCCGCTCAGTCCCCGCACGTCTCCTCTCCCATTGGCACCATGTCGCTCCTGCTCTGACTTCCCGGCCACGGGCGCGTTGTGGCCACGGGGCCGGGGGTGCCCGTGTGCCCTCGGACGGGGGCCCCGAGGACCCCCCTCCTCGCTGTCCGTGCGACAGCCGTCAGAGGTGTCGGTGCTCTCCAGGGCCGAGTCCACGTCGTCGACATAAGTGACGTCCCCGATGTAGGTTTCCTTGATCCTCTCAGTGTGGATGCGCTGTCGCGAGGGCAGGATCCACAGCGGGGACCCGCGGGGACCCAGAGTCCTGGCTTTTGGCTCCGGCAGGGGGGCGCTCCCCTCCTCCCGCTCGGCCGGGTGCTTTTCCCTGCTCCCCGCGTCGCTGCTGCTGGCGGAGGCACCAAGGAAGGAGCCGCAGGCTTTGCAGGTGCCCCTGGCACTGGGCACTTTGCCTGGGCTGGCCACCTGCCCCGCTGTGCCCCGGCTCTGCCACTCGCCCTCACTCCCGCGGGCAGCCGGCTCGGGCTGGGAGAGGGACAGCCCCCGGCCCAGGGGACTGAGGACGGAGCCCAGCGCCCGGCGGTGCCGCAGCTGCAGCCGCTCCAGGTACCGGACCTCGGCGTCGCGGGCCGACTCGTCCTCGAAGCGCACGCGGGACGGCGAGGGCCCCCGCACCCGCCGCGCGCCTCCGCTCGACTCCCCGCTCGACGAGTCGCTCAGGCTCCCGCTGGCCGGCGCTTCTCCATCCTGTGGCTTGGGCTCCGGGGCGGGCGTCCCGCTGGGCTCCCTGAGGGCAGGACAGGCAGGCTGCAGAACTGCCCAGCACCCTGGGGCCACAGGGCAGGGATGCATCCACTGGGAATATCCCCAGCACCGGGAGGGGAGGAGGAAGCCCAGGGCAGGGCCGGACGGGCTGCATGGGGAAGGGCAGGGGAGGGAACTCAAGCCAGCACTCTGCAGCCCAGGGGAAAATGGTGGCGCTGCTTCAGCACCGCGCTGAGTCGCCCCTGTCACGCGAGGGGCTGTGTCCCGAGCCCGGCGCTCACCTGGCGCCGGCGGCGGGGAGGATGTCGTGGCTGGCGCGCAGCGGGTTCGTCCGCGCCTTCATGCGGGCGCGCTGCAGCAGCTGCTTGGCCTGCTCATGGCGCGGGCTCAGCGCGAGCTCCGGCCCCGCCACAAAGGCCCTGCAGCCCGGCGAGCCGGATTAGGAAAAAATAACAAGGATTAGAGGTGCTTTGGTGGTGACGATGGCACCGCTCGGCCCGGAAAGAAACACCCGGCCTCCCATCCCGGCTGGGACAGCCCTGGTGTGGGGAACCAGCCCCGCATGAGGGGTAGATGCAAGAGCCCCCCATGCCCAGCGCCCTGGGTGCCTGGGGTGCCACCGGGTGCTGCCACCCCCGCACCCCGATCCCGCTGATTGCAGTAATCAGCTCAGGCGGTCCCTGGCATTAACCCCTCCACACTGCAGGGGCACCTACCTGCAGCCGTCCGCGTCCGGCAGGGAGACGCCCGAGTCCCGGTCCGCGTTGCTCAACGGCGGCTCTGCAATGCAGGGGATGCAGCAGCACCCAAGGCCACCCGCAGCAGCGCCCCCAGCCCTACGCAGGTCCCCAGGGCAGGTGGGACAAAACTGCTCCCGTTCCCAGGGGAAGTTCACATTCTTGGCAGCGAACTCGCTCGCCCGGAGCCACGGGGCCTGGTAGCAGCCTGGCACGCAAAGCCTCGCGCCGAGGGGACCCAGCGCCTCAGCAGACTCAACACGCACAAGCTGGCCAGCTCATCAGAAATGGCGGGGAACGGGACACTGCCACGCCGCCCCGAGCACCCCGCGCCACGCTGAGCACCCACCGTGAACAGGGACGTCCTGCGGAGCCCCAGTGGCCGCCAGCGCCAGCACCTCCTGCAGCAGCTGCCGGTTCCTCTCCACGCGCTGGGCCAGCGAGAGGCCACTGGTGCCGCCACCGTCCCCTGGCAGCCTCCAGGGCCCCCCGGTGTTGTCACGGCCTGTGGAGGCCGGAGCGGGGTGCAGTGCCACCGCAGCGCCCGTGGTGCCGTCCAGCAGCCCGTCCGTGAGGTACGTGCGGACCTGGGCCTGCGGCTCGGCGGCCTCCAGCCCCGGCTTGGCCCGTCGCAGCCGCGGCCTCGCAGCTCCCCGCTTCTCCTTGAGGGCCTTCACCTTGCCCTCCAGCACGGCGTGGGGGCCGCCCGCGGGGGCCGTGTCGCCGGCGTGCGCAGCGGCCTCGGGGCCCTCTGCGGTCGCCCGACTGCGCTGCCTGGGGGGCCGCGGCGCCCGCCGCACCTCAGCCGCCGCCTCCCGCTCCATGCGCTGCCTCGCGGGGCGCCCTGCGGGGACAAGCGGTGCGGGAGGGTGGGGGGGTCCAGGCGGCCCCCAGCATCCCGGCTCCCCGGCGCAGGGCAGGGAAGCGGTGCCGGGGCTGCGGGGGTCTCCATCACGCGGGGGCACGCGAGGGGCTGCCTCGGCTGAGGGGCCGGAGCAGAGCATCCCAAGCGGGCCGGGCACAGGGAGAAGAAGGCGGAAGAGGGGAAGGAAGCAGGGGAAAAAAAAAAAAAAAAAAAGTACAAGCAGCAAATCGCGGCCCCTGCAGCTGCGCCAGGCTCAGCCGCTTGGCTGGGCTCCCCACAGCCCGGCCGCCGGCCCTCCCTCCTTCCCTCCTCCTCCTCCCGCTGCTGCAATCCAGCTGCAAGGCCGAATACCAGGGCGCCCGACCAAAACCAGCACCGGCAAAGGGAAACGCGGTGCCCCTCGCTGCCCCGCCGCCGAGGAGGGCGGCCACAGGCGGGTGCCCCACGTCGGCCAAGCCGTGCACGCAGGGAGCCCTGGCCGGCCGTCAGGAATGTCCTTTGTTTGGGCTGCGATTTGGGAGCGGGCTGGAGGGCGCGAGAGCCCCTGGCACAGGGGGTGGGAGAAGTGGCACGCAGAGCGCAGCCCTTCTGCAAATCCCCCTGTGCAGCAGACGCCCTTGGGAGGCAGCCAGGGAGCAGCCCAGCGCTGCACGGGCGCCCTCGGGCATCCCCCGTCCCCCCCGCGGCGCCGCTTACCTGGACACACACAGGAGCCCGTGCCGAGCGGGCCCCGCGGGCCCCGCCAGGGCAGGGCACGGGGCTGCCGCAGGGGACATGGGGACCGCGGCCTCACGCTGCCCGGGGCCGCGGGCAGCTGTGCCCAGGCTGCCGGTTTAAGCTGCAGCTTCTGATATTCGTGATTGGTTTCATAATCCCGATGGAAAGGAAATCACCAGGATTATGAAATTGTTTTAATCCCCCCAGCTCCGGCCGCGTCTGGCCCTGCCACCACGAGCGAGCAGCAAGAAACCTCTCCCATCTTCTTGAAACGTCCTCCCGTGCCCTAGCGGCCCCAGTGCCGACGCTGCTCCTGGCCCACGAGGGACACTCCAATTTCTGGTGCTGGCCCATTCCCACAAATCCCCCTACGGCTGGGGAAGAGCCTGTGGGTTTCCCTCCCTCGACGGCACAAAGCACCATTGAGACCCACTGAGACGGGCCTGGGAGCATCAGTCCGAATGCACTTGGAGAGTAGCCGGGCTCTGGGGAGGAATGTGGCCCTGTGGGACACGCAGCCGGGCAGCCGCATCCCCGTCCCCATCCCACGAGCGGGGGACAAGCCCTCCCATCCTGCTCGGGCTGTGCAGGAGCTGCCATGAGATGTGACACAGGAGAGCAGACACAAAGAGGGAAAAGCTCAGGCTCCCCCAGGCCGGGCCGAGTCGGTACCGGAGCATCGCCCAAGGATTCTCCACGGCCTCCAGCGTGGGCAGGAAGCACAAGGTTAAGGAGCAAGTGCAAATGTCCCGGGGGACGCGGAAGGAAGGACGTCCTGCGGACGACAGGAGCGGGAACAGGCCCGGATTAATTTCAAGGCGTTGGCTCTTTTCAGGAGGAAGATTGATTGCAAGAGCCACTGGAGGGATTTAATGGAACGAAATGAAAACACAGACCCCAGACAAGTCGCTCCGGGCTGCCGCCTTTGCGCGGCCAGGGGAGGACACCACGGGCCCCCCACGGCTCCACTAGAGCCCAAATCCTGCTCGGAAGCGCCGAGGTGCCCGCGATGTCCCCGGGGAGAGCGGCGGCTGAGGGGCGATGCCCCTGCCCAAACCCGAACACCTCATCCGTGCCACTCGCCCGAGGGACGGGAAAAAAGACACACAGACTGGTGACGAAGGAGCCATCCCGTCATTGGAAAACAAAGAGCTTGTAATCATGAAAAAAGGACAGATTTAGTAACCAATCACTTTTTCCTTTTAAAAACACAATCACAGTAACTTTGCTTTATACAACCACCTAGAAACTATGAAACAGTATCACATTGTGCATTTTTTTTTAAACCTACTTATCAAGAAGGGTATTTCCACACTTCAAAAATTATATCCATTTGGGAGGGAAGGAGGAGACAGCTAATAGCGCAGTCACAGATACATCATGAGTCCAAGCAAGCGGCAAGTCTTTGTCCTCACCTTTTCCACTTAGCCAAAAAGAAGAGTGGAGAAGGGGATAGCAAGAGAAAGGAGGAGGAAAGAAAGAAAGCACCCACAGAGGACTAATCACACTCCATAATTACTTTTGACATCTACAGGTCAGGGCTTCGCAGGATAATCATTTAGACCAACACAGCGGGGAGAGGGGGAGAGGAAGATGGCAGTGGGACAAGCAGGATATTTCGGAAGAGCCAAAGGCTTTTCCACCCTGGGCCCCTTCCAAACACTGTTCATTTGATAGGAGGAGCTACAGGACAGTGAGATAGTCACAGATATCCCCAGGCCCCCACACTGGCTGCCTGGGGCAAGGAGGTCACAGTTTGATGGCTGGAGCTTGGGGGATCTTGATGCCACAGGGCGGCCCTGGCCGCTGCCGCACCAGGACCGCACAGGGGGCACCAGGGTAGGGCCAAATTCCTGGGGCTGCTAGGGCCAAATTGTGCCAACACCCGAGGCCCTCCGCTCTTCTCCCCCTCCCCAAACCCACGCTTCTCTTGCAGCTCCAGCCATGTCCCCAGGCACAACAGCGGTGGCAGCTCCTGACACGTCCAGCAGCGCCATGCTCGGGCCAGGTGGATGCACCGTGCAAGGGAGGCCAAGTTGCACTGCAGAACCACCGAGAGCAACTACGGCTGGTGAAGAGCAACTGCAACAACCTTCCCTAGGAGCCCCGGCCCCTACCTGAGGGGACAAACCAAGCCAACAGCCTTCCAGAATAAAAGCTGAAATAAGAAATGCTTAAGGCAGGAGATTGTCTTACCCCTGTGAGTGCTATCCAGAACCACGGGAGAGAGGGAGGACACGGGGCTGGGACATGGTGCTCGAGCAAAACGGGCTCTGCGCTTCCAGCACAGCAAATCACCCTCCTGCCCTCCCGGTGGCAACGCAAGCCACCGGCACCAGGGCACTTCCAAGCGCAACGGCCTGCGGTGCACGTGGGGGCCAAAGCAAGAAGCACCCAGCAGCAGCCTTGCAGGGTAAGGTCAAATTCACTTGGGTGTCCGAAATCCGGACAAAGAGGGAGCATTTTGCCATCTCCATTGCTTCTCAGAAGACCTGCAGTAAAACGCCAGTGGCTTTTCTCTCCTGACCTGAACCGGGACAGTGCTGCCCATCCTCAGCTCTCATACCCGGCCACGGCAGCCCGGCCCACCAGAGAAGAGGGAGCAGCCTGTTTCCTACGGGAAGGAGTTCACTGCTCCCCAGGAGATCTTTCTCCTGCTGGTTGCGCTGCCTGTCTTTTCTGCACATCATCTGCAGAAAACAGCGAGGGAAGAGACACCGACAAAACAAGAGTGGCCGGGAGGTTAAGAGGAGCAGTTGATTTTGGGGGAAAACACCTGGATTTGAGAAGTAGGTGCTTATTTGATATGTGGACTAGAGGGATGAATGCTTCAAACACACTTGTTAAGACATGGTGGAAAGCGGCTCAAGCTGGCAGGAGCCCCAAAAAGGCTGGCCCAATTTCTATCTTTTCTTGCCAAATCTGGTTCTGCAAAACCAAAACCCACCCTATGACTACTGAGGTTTTACCACCCCTCCAACACTCACAGCTTCATTGCTCCTTTCAGAAGGATTCATCTGCAAGACCTTTGCACAGGAGGGGGAGCGTGTGGCTTTTGACGACCATTTGCTGGTGACGCGGCTCCAGAGCGGATTCCAAATTCCCATTTCCGTTGCTTGCAAAGCCCTCTCAGGAAACAAGCCATCCTCGGCCGGCCGCCTTCTCTCGTTTTGCAGACCATTCTCAAGGAGTGAAGGGCCAATTTTCTACTGCCATCTGCTCCAATATATCTCATTTTACTGGCCAGATGTCCCTGCAGACTCGGAGCCATCCAGTTTGCAGTGCTAGCTCCCGGGAGGAGTCTGCCCTCCTCATTTCTCAGAAATCTCTGGCAGGTAAGGAATACGCGCCCGCAGCGCCAGGGAAACGCGGTTCTTTTAAAGCTCTGCTTCCAGGAATTCAGGCTGCTTTCCTCGGAGAGAACATCTCCATTGCCAAAAGGGACAATGTTTTATTTTGGGAGATAACATTCGCTAGCTGTAGCACATCTCCTCCCTTTTTTCTTTCTTTTTCTGGCAGCAAATACAGGAAAGGGGGGAAAAAAAAGCAAAGGGGAGGGAAGGGAAGGAGCAGGGAAGAGGAAAGGTCGAAGCAGCAGATGGACAGATGGAAATCTTGCTTTCCATAAGGATTTGATAAACCACAGCATAAGAATTTAATTATTTGCAACTGGATCCTTCCTTTCAGGTTAGGGATCAAACAGGAGACCCTGCGCTGCCGCTCACCCCCGTGAGCTGCAGGCCCCCAGAACAGGAGCTCCATTTCTTTACAGAACGTAGCACTTGCTTCAGCAACAACATTTTTTTTTCGTATTATTTTTGGATTGCTCCCCTTGGTGTGGCTGCCCTCCTCTCAAAATACCCCTGGGGAAGTATGGCTTCGCTATCCTCCAACAGCTCTTGCTTGCTGAAAATTCCCAAGCCGGGGGCGTCGGGGAGCACCCCTTCTCGGTTTGAACACGGCAACAGCGGCTGCGATGACGATAGCAAGCGTGTCGAGGGGCTTTATATCCCAAACTCCACTTCCACGTGAGCAGGACCCCCGCTCAGCGGGAAGCACGGGGCCCGGTGGCACGGCACGCACGTCAGCTGCTCCGGCACCACGACACGAGCGCGGGCAGCGCAGCCGCGAGGGCCGGGCCCCGCAGCAACTGGCCGCGGTCGCAGCGGGTCACCCACGAGCTGGCGGGCGCCACTGCGCAGCGACGCCCTGGTTCGGTCAAGGGGCACTGGTTCACTGCCACCCGAGTTCTACTGATCTTTTTTGGAAAAATAAATGAATAGAACTAAGTTTCCTTCTTCAGTTCCTCTGGGCAAGAGGCACAGCAGGTAAAGTGAGAAAAGGTGACGCACCAGTGATGGGAGCAACCGTGCTCTTAGCTAACGAAGAAAAATAACCGGTCAGCAGCCACGCAGGGACTCCCACCATTCCTGGGTTGAAACTAGACACAAGGCCACGGACAGGCATCGACAAGAGGATCCCACTTCAAGAGTTTCAGCTCTCACTTGCTCCGGGGCAGTGACCCAGAGCACAACCACCCCAGAAGCAAAGCCCATCCCAGCCCCAAGGTCCTCACCTTGCCCCACTCGGCCTTCGCTGTACAGAGCTGTAGGAGAACGCCAGGAAAGCTCCCCGCTTGGCACGCGATGGACCGTGCCCTCGCTTTATCCAGTGAATATTAAGGCTTTGGAGAAAAAAAAAGAGCTTTTGATGTGGACTATGAAGTTCTCCACCCTTAGCTTTTCTAACTGCTTTTACTACTGGTAGGACCTAACTCTTCTTCAAAAAGGTTACAGGATCATTGCACTACTTTCACACAGCTGCATGGGAAGTTGGGGATGAACTGGCACGTGAGATATGCCCAGGCATCTGAAGCAGCAGCAGCAACTAAAAATTAGAAACTTTGGTTTAAAATAAAATTGAAAAGAAAGTAAGAGAGAAAAGGTACAAGGGTGCAAATTGTCTCATGATAAGGGTAGTTGTAGGGCATAACCCCATAACCCTAGAGATCTAAATCTACATTCCTGGCTTTGCTTTACCATTACAACCTTCATTGCACAGGACTCAAAAATCACTCTCATATGGTTGTTAAGTTTCATAAATAATGAGAAAACTATATGCAACAGATACATCATATTTCCAAAAATTATAAGAAAAGTTACATCAAATTAAAAAGTAGCTTCATGAATGAAGATACTGCTCTAAGTGCACTTTCCCTGCAAGTGCAGCCAGTGCCTCAGCGCTGGATATGAAGGAAAAAAACAAAACAAAACCAAAAAAAAAATCAAATTTAAAAACCTAAGTCCGGTTTCAACCAGTCAAAACCGGGCCAAGCAGAACCCGAGCATGGTCTCGGCACTGTCCCATTAGGGAGTCCCTATGATGCTTCTTCATCCAGATAGGTTTGTATGTCCTTGTTGAGACTGTAAACAATCCTTCTCTCCTGAACTGTCCTCTTGATTGGCAAAACGAAGTAAAATGTTTTATTTTTAAAATAGAAAATCAAAATCAACCCAGAAGAAAAGAAACAAAACACAGTGAGCTTGTTGGAGTCCATAGGATCCGGTCTGGAAGAGCTCGGAAAACATGTTCAGTGTTTTCTCCTGTTTCAGCTGGAACTGTACCAGAGATTGGGTTACTTGGGGAAGAGGGGAATAGAACGAGAAAATAAGGGATGCGGAATAAAAGACTGTGGCCATTTCATGTGTTTGCTTCATCGTCTGTGTCCTCTATCAATACCTTCGTGTCACGAGCCTTGGACCTGCAAAACAAAACCAAACAAAGCACTCACTCTGAGAAGAAAACTCCATTATTGCACACATATTGAACTGCACTTGCAAATCTTTCTTATACGGGAACAAGCAGCCGGCTGGGATAGTTCTGCACTCCCCTGCTCCGGCTGGGAGCAGAGCTGCAGGGACACGCGCCAGCTGTCCCTTAGCAGCTCCCTCCCGGCCACCTTCCCGACTGGCGCAGGCTGCTCTCTGCCGGCCGGCAAGGGACAGGGCGGGAGATACTCCGGAGCTGCGGGCTGCATCCATCCCTCCATCCATCCCTGCATCCCTCTGCTTGCCAGCACAGGACACCGCAAATTAAGGGAATGTCCCTGTGCAATCTGTCACCGCGCTACACAAAGGTGAAGCGGATTATTCAACAGCATGCTCACCATGTCTCAGTTCATTGTGTGTCTTGGGGATAAATGCAGCCTTAAATCTATTTATTTAAATCAGCCTCCATGACTGAGCAGTGCTTGGCTAGGACTAACGGAGCAAAAGAGTGTGGCATCCACACCAGGTTCCTTATTCCAGGAGCAACACGAGGACAGGTGGCACCCAGTCGCTGGAGTCTTTTGTGGTACTTAAGAGCGGCGAAGATAAGTCAACAGCATCAGGGTCTGGGATGTTCTATGGGGAAGAGTTCAGGGTGCAAGAATGTGGATGGCAAAGGAGGGGAAAGCATAGATCTGAGCGCTCAGCTATGAGATCTTAACCAAATGATATGAGACAGCCTCTCTTCCCAGTGCAGATACATCACCTCTGGCATCTGTTAGAAGCTGTTCTTGCAGGAAGGGCCATCCTCCAGGGAGGCTCCCTTTCTCAACAGTTAGGGAGGGCCCAAAGGTGATAATATAATATTAACTAACTCTACACAGAGGTATATTTACAATTAGTATCGGATCTGTCCTTCCTTTGAAGGACTACTTCAGCTGAGATCTCAGCATGGCTATCAAAATGACTTCAAAGTCAGCACGACTTTGAAGCTTTAAATGTCCACTTTACGTCACTGACAAGCAGCCCAGCACAGGATTTAGCTTGTGGCACTAGAGGACAGGAAAAACATACTGCGAAGCCAGTCGAGGTCTGCGCAAGGACACGCTTTGACTGCGCTTCCACTGTTTGTTCTTCTGGCGGTTTCGGACACCGTCTTCCTGGTCCATCATCTGCTCCAAGAGTGTCTGATCGTCGGCATTGAGCGGCGCCACAGAGATGTCCCGCACGGCACGAAACTCACCACAGTTGTTCAGATGCTCATTCTCCAGCCGGAAGAAATTCCACACAAATCGTCTAGACAGCAAGAAGTGAAATTCATCAGTTCACAACCACGTCACTACAGGCACCATGCACATTTGGCAGAGCACTAGCACTGGACCCAGGTACCACTGATTTCCTTGGTGGTCACAACCTGTCTCTGGGGAACACACTGGCAGAACGGAGAGAAACAGCCAGTGACTAACAGCAGCACCTGCTACGGTACCATCCCATCAGAGGCAGACTAAACTCTCTGGAGAAGAGCAGATTTCACAGATTTATTCACTGTCCTAACAGTGATCATCACCCTGTCTAAACGGCAGGGGTGTAGCCAAACATTGCAAGTGAAAGGAGGATCTTATGGAAATCTCCACCACATAAAGGAGTGAAGTTCAGCTGGAAGTTGCTATTGATCAGAAAAAGCTGGGAGAGGCTCCAGCTAGAGCACAAATGCATGAAGAGCACTGGAACTTAACAGGTCAAAAGCAGTGCTGTGGAATTCAAATTAGTATTCAGAAAAAGTATACTTTAGAAAAGTGTAAATGCAACATCAAGTGAAATTTCAACTGCTTCTGTCAATAAGGTAATTTTACAGAGACATTTAGTAATAAATCCCAAGTAAACTCAAGATTAGGTTTAAGTTTCTAGAAAACAAGCAGCACAGCACAAAGGACCCAGCCACATGTTGCTGCAAAGCACTACAGAGTCTTCACCAGTCTGCATACTGCTTGGATTAAACGCTTCCATAAGACATAGTCGTTCAAGGATCTGTAGCTTCTGTGTCCAAGCAGCAAAGCACTTCCCACCGTGCTGATGTTAGACACGTATAAAGTAGAAATGAACTGTGCAGCCAAGTAGCCTTACCGGAAAACCTCAAGTGGGGCAAAGACCGTGGAAATTATGTCCCCAGCATATGGAAAAATTTGCATGGAAGTGAGGGAGATCTGGATGGTCCAGGCGAAACGCAGGATCACGTCCTCTACAATGGCACAATAGTAGTATGCCTGAGGAACAAGACAGACAAACAGCACAGGTCAACTTACACACTCTGCATAGAGGACAGACTGGCTCAGGCCTTCAAGAAGAGGTAAGCTGCTGGGCCGAAGTTTCTAAGTTAACCTCCTAGCTTTCAAACATACAGGAATTACATCCCATAGTGGCTGCATAAGCACTGTCTGCAAGGAAGATGCAATAACACTTCTCCCTTTCCCTATGTTTTCTGTTCCTGGAGAAGAAAACATATCTATTGAGTCAAAACTGCAGACCTTTAGCATTTCCCACACACTCACATACCTGTGAATTTGGAAGAAATGTGATAGTTTGTAGTGGTGTTTAGAACCTGTTTCATGAGTCATCTGCTGCCAGCTTGGAAAGCACCACTGCAGACCACAGGCAGCTCAGCTAACGGAACCCACCAGTGGTCTATGCAAAAGCTCGGTACAGATGCGGTAAGATCTGTTTTAAAATTGATTTATGTTTGGGTAGCTTCTCATTGTAGATACAGCTATCCTGTTACAGAAGCAGCAGACATACAATTTGCTTCTCAACCAATCGAAACATGAAGAGTAGGATATAATCTCTTGGAAGCAGATGAACTCTACAGTTGAGAAAATCCTAATGCATAGTATTTGGGAAACATTACCGACCAACTGCAACAAGCTCTCAACTCAACAAATGCAGTTAAAACATTTAGGAATCTCTAAAATAAGAGCAGGCTGCACACGTACTTTCTGTGGGTAGACAATCTCTTCTCGAAGAAAGGTATTTTCACCAGCATTTTTGTCAAAAAGACCCCAATCCATCTTCAGATCCCAAATAAGGGTATAGCAGGAGCTGATGAAATAGAAGATAATCCACAGATAGAAGAACACTTGGGTATCACTGTGTTTTTTAGCTGGAAGAGAGAAAAACAACATACTGTTCAGCTGAAAGCAGCTATAAACTGAATGACTTGGCAGGTGGAAGATAATTCTCCTTTATCCAGACTTCTGGAAAATGGCTAGCTGATCTGAAACAAACTGAATCATCTTTAGATTCTCACGTAAATTCCATCTTTAAACTCTGCTCGTTGTTTTGCACTGGAAATGCAGTTTGCTTTTCTTGTCTGGAGGCTTGTGGCAGAGCTGCCGTTCTGCCTCTATCCGGCAGAGGGAAGCTGGGGGCCGCGTTTCACAGAGGGCTTCTACAGAGCAAAAGCACCGGGGCAATGCTCAGCCCACAGCGTTTCTTGAGGGATACTCGAGTTTGTATCCACGTGTAAAGAACTGAAAATCAGTGCGTTGATGGCCTCAAAGAGGCTGGACAACACATGAACTTTCATTAGCCCTTCCAGAGGTGTGGTGGTAAGAGAACAAGGCAAAAGCACGGGAACAGTAACCTTAATAGATATTAACATCTGTGTATTAATACTGAAGAAGGCTCAATACGGAGGTTTAAACTGCCATCTAGAGCACTTAAAAAGATCAAATCTGCTAATCTGTGGACATGTTTCTGTAACTACAAGTTCCACCTAAAAAGATTACACTGCTCCCCCAACTTGGCTAAATTTCCTTACAGTCACCTGGAAAAGAAAAAAACAAAAAAGCCCAGTTCTGTTCTTCTGTTATTTGTTCATTTATCTATCAATCTAAGTATGCTTGGATCACGAAGTACACAAAACATATTACAATGCTTTGATAGCAGAGCCATTTTGCCTCTCGCTGCCTATCAGGAGTCTTGTCTTCTCTTTGTGAGTGACTGAAATTGCTCCTTCACGGACCCTCCGTAACGGGGCCAACAGGACGCCTCTCAGACGCCGCGCTAGCAGAAGTGACAGCAGTGTTTTCCCTTGAAAACAACAGAATCCTTCACGCCGATCACAGAGGCAGTAACAGTGCAATTTGCTCCTTCCTTGCCTTTCCGTTTTTAACAATTATGACATAAATGTAATGTGGCAATCTGATAAAATCAATGGAGGTGAAAATGAGAGGCATGGTTGTGAGTACATTCTCCCCATTATGCCCCTCAGGCTTCCTGGATATGATGTGCAGGATATAGGTCAAATACACACACTCATTCTCCTTTCAAAACACACCCCCTAAAGCAAATCTATTAAAATCATTTATGTAGCCATGCCTTTCTGCAGTGAAGCTTCCAATTCACAGCCTTCAGTGCTCCGGTACATTCATGCTGCTGCGACCAGCCACCTTTCCTGCTCATTTATCAAAATAGAGTCACCCACAAGCCAGCAGAGAGGTGAAGTTTTAGAAGCTGAGCAGCTGGAGCTCTACCATAAGATGTCATTTTGTCCCAGCCATCTCTCCAAAGTCTCCCTCTTGCATTACTCGATGAAGAAGAAAAGATTTACCTGGATGCTCCGTGACTTAGAGCCACTGAGCCCATGCTTCGCACTATTATCTCTAGCTCATTACACCTCCGCGTTTACAACCAGAGGATCCTAAAGGACAATTCAGAGAGGTAATTAAAGGAATTGCTTTAAAAGCATCTAAATGCTCCGGACCACCCTCTGAGGCCACATTCTTCATATGGTCGCTTAAGCTTTTAAGTTAGGTGCTTCACTCACCCTACGTCCTTCTCTGGAAGGGGCCAGGCTGGCCCCATGGCTTCATCTCTCAAACCAAGGGGCAACCAGTGAACCTGGAGCTCACAAAACTGCACCATACATTGCAGAGCGCAGTGATTTTACACGTTAATGATGCTGCAGGCTACGTCATCCTAACGGTTATTTTAAGCAGTATGTATGTATGTAATATAAGAGTATGTATGTAATATAAAAGGAGTATGAGGAAGAGAGAGACCCAAGCAGGGACTCTCGGGGCATTAGCGGTCACCTCCAAAGGAAGTGCTTGTTCCCAGTCTGCTTTCCTGGCTTCTGCTTCCTCTCCCTCCCCTCTTCCCAACAGTCTCTTCATTCGCACCTAGGGTCACGCTGCCTGGCCCTTGCTCCTGCTTCCTTTCTCACCCCCGAGCTGGTTGATGCATTTGGCTCTGAAAAACTCCATTACAAAACCCAATCGCCCCCAGTAAAACACTAATCAGAGCAAGGCTAGTGTCTCTAGCTTTGTCATTCAAGTCCCTTCCTTTAATCACTTGCCTCCTTTTTCTTCCTGCCTGCAAGTCTGCTCGATACCATTCTTCCTTCTGTCCTCATTGGTATTCAGCTGGTGTACAGAAATATGTTACTGCTCTAGGCAAGCAATTATATCTCAATCTCCACTGGCTGGTCCTGGTGGCCCTCTTCAGCGCTGCTCAGGAGGCTGGAAAATCAAGGCATTGATATTCTGCCCAGAGGTTCCATCCACTGCTCATCTGCCAGCTTTTCCAGGAACAATTCATTGCTGTGTTTATGTTGATGTCAGGGTCTATTTAAACAGGAACTGTTTCATCCTGTGGTCTTTGTTTAATGATGTGCTAGAAGCCACCAAAAACATGAGCAGAGAGGGAGGGACACAGGAAGAGAGAAGAGCATTGGACACCTGGTGGAACTTAACCTTCCATAGAGGAAAGGCCCAGTCTCTAATGGCCCATGGATTGCACTAATTCTTTTGCAATGTAATTGCTAGTTTGCCCAGTAACAGGTAGAGGAAGAACCTCTGGATTCAGTGCTGGAAAGGGCACCCCAGGCGACAGCTGCACCAGCTATGCAGCTGCTCAGAGCAGCAAGCACAGCAGCGACAGCAGTGTGTGCACACAGCCTCTGCACCCAAAGCTGCAGCTTCACGTGCCGCTGCGAAGGGGCAGATTTAAAGGGATGCTCTTAGCAGCACGTGCAAAACTTGGAGGTGTTCAGTCACATCAGAGGACACTGAGCTGCTCTGCTGCAGTGCCTGCATTGCCCGTGCTGCAAGGACTATGTAGGACACCACAGGGGCTACGTTTGCAACCTTTAGCACAGTTTCCATTAAAATCCTCAGTTTTCTCAGTATATATTTTGCACAAATACACCTACGAATTGCCCCAGAAGGTCAACTAGATAAATAATGGAAGGCTTCAACCTTTGAACTAAAGCAGTGAATGGTCACAGAGCAGAAAAAAGAGTCAAAGGTACTTCCAGCAGCTGAATTTACTGCCTGCAAAAACCGCTGATGGACAAATATCTTTGATTCCACAAACAGCCACAGGGGACACAATATCTCACTGGCATTTTGAGAGAATAATACCTTGCAGAAATTATAGCCCCTTCTAAAACACAGGCAAGGAAAAAGTCCTTTTCCATCAAAAATAGACAGCAAATGCTGTAGTGGATGCAGTTAATATTGACTTTTCCTCCAAAGAATACTATCTGTTTACCCTGCTGAATTATTCCGGGGAATGTAAACACTATATAGTATTCAACACAGGAAAAATCAATGCCATGTATTATTGAAGATCTGGATAAGAGCACAATGGCCCTCGATAAGCACTCCGAGTGTGTCAGCCACTGCAGCTGGCTGTGGTTTTTGCTGATGCTGAGAGCTGTGATAAAAGCTGCCCGAAGCCTGAGGTTATCAGAAAACACAGCAAGGTAAGTCCTGCTGCATGACACAAGAGTGACTGAACTGCAGCACCTCTGTCTCCAGCAGGAATCAAACCTGTCTGCGTCGGGGGTACAAAGCTTTTTAGATGATGAGCTTTTCAAGCACAGTTCTAAACCAAACCAGAACCAAAACAAAAGGGCAGGTACTTAGAGGGGACTAGTCAGGGTGGAAAACAGAGCGTAGACTTTCTGCTGCCCATTTAGTCCATTAAGGATGTTTTCCCATTAAACCCATCCCATAATGCAAGGAAGGAGTATGACAGCCATAAGTGACATCAATCCATAAGAAATGCCAACAGAACAGCATTGTCAAAGCTTTTTTTTGTGTAACACAGGTTGAAATGCAGTACTATAGATGCCTCAGTAATTGTGTTACTGAAGAATAAACAGTAGTGTTTTCTTTCCTGTCCAACCAGCAAGTATCTCCATTTTTTACTGATAATGGTAAAGACACGACACAAAAGTGGATTTAAGGCAATAAAAAAGCCAAATAACCTAGAGGAGCACGGGAAGGACTCACCACTGTTACTGATGGGCTCTGTCAAATACCAAGTGCTTCCACACGAACAACTTCCCTGTTGGATTCTGCAAACCTCTACTAGCCTCAAGGCACAGCTTAAAGTAAAACAGCAAGATAGAGAAGAGCTGTCGGAGACAATCTCTCGCTCCCCTCTTCTGTTTAGGTTCTTCATCTGTAAAACATGCAGATCTCCAAAATCTGCTTTGATTGAAATACACCCTATTGACTTGCATTGCTTTGTAGGACACGACTACTTCCTTTAATTTCAAGATGTCACAGCAAGTCTCACAGCTCACATCTCACAATCAGGAGAAATGTAATTTCATTGCAAACTGGACGATTCATATTAGTAGTTACATGTCTGATACGATTATTCGTCTGGCGTCTTCTCTAGCATTTTTAAGAAGGGTTATCTGGGGAGGCATAACTGCTACCATGAGAATGATGGGCTTTCCAGGCTGCCCATTTGCCAGAAGTCTCCCTAGTAAAGACACTTGGGTTCCCAACTAGAAATAGTGTGGGAATCAAGGCCTTCACTGGGCAATTTAGACATTATGACGCAATACCATCCGGTACTTTTAAATGCTTTGAAATCTACCAATAGCCTCTAGCAAAATCTAAAAGTAGAAAACAGCCAAATAAAATACAGCAATGTTGGATTATGGCATCTCCTAGACTGCTGCAGCATTAGAGAACTCCAGGCCTGTTTGCCTTTGAAAGGAAAATTGCTTGTTGGTGACGCAGCTGGTTGCTTTTCTTAAAATGCTCCATTAAAGAAAGACAAGAACCAGACTTCTTCCTCCTAAGTGCCCGTGAAATGAGATAGCAGTAGGCCATCCTTCCTACTTACACCTTAATC